ACCCATAGACTCACACAGAGATTCATAGACTCACACAGAGACCCATAAACTCACACAGAGATCCAAAGACTCACACAGAGATTTATAGACTCACACAGAGACCAATAGACTCACACAGAGACCCATACTCACACAGAGATCCAAAGACTCACACAGAGACCCATAGACTCACACAGAGACCCATAGACTCACACAGAGATGCATAGACTAACACAGAGACCCATAGACTCAGAGATGCATAAGCTCCCACAGAGGGAGATCCATAGACTCACACAGAGACCCAAAGACTCACACAGAGACCCATCGACTCACACAGAGATCCATAGACTCACAGAGACCCATAGACTCACACAGAGACCCATAGACTCACACAGAAATTCATATTCACACAGAGATTCATAGACTCACACAGAGACCCATCGACTCACACAGAGATCCATAGACTCACACAGACCCATAGACTCACAGAGCCCCATAGACTCACACAGAGACCCATAGACTCACACAGAGATCCAAAGACTCACACAGAGACCCAAAGACTCACACAGAGACCCATAGACTCACACAGAGATTCATAGACTCACACAGAGACCAATAGACTCACACAGAGACCCATACTCACACAGAGATCCAAAGACTCACACAGAGACCCATAGACTCACACAGAGACCCATAGACTCACACAGAGACCCATCGACTCACACAGAGATTCATAGATTCACACAGAGACCCACAGTTTGTTGTCCTTCCTCCGCGCCTCCGATTAGCACGGTTGGCTACGTACGGTGCGAAAGAAGTTCAACATACACGCACGCATACATTGAATGAGTGCAGACTGCAGTGTTTTTTTTTACTCTGTAATCCGTTGTTTGTGTTGCATGGCCACAATCACACGGTGGCGAGGAGTTAACTACCTCGTCTGATATACAAGAGGTCGTGAAATCTTGATTTAACTACGTGACTTTACCGAAAAAACCAAAGAGTAAGGATCACGTGAGTTCGATCCCGACCCTGACGATGCCTGCTGCTGCTGTATATTTGGAGTTTGCGGTGTCTTTCTCTCATCATCATCATCACAGTTGCGAGATGTTGACTACCTCGCCTGGTATACAGGAGGTGTCGTGGGTTCGATCCCGACCCTGACGACGCCTGCTGCTGCTGCTGTATATTTGGAGTTTGCGGTGTCTCTCTCTCTCTTCTCTCCACATGTAGAATCAACATCACGCGCGTTTAGACGATTTGGCTACTGCTATGGGGCCGTCCATAAATGACGTCACGCACCTAGGGGGGGGGGGGTCAGACATTTGTGACGATGTGTGACGAGGGGGGGAGGGTTGAGAAATGTGACGTAACATCAAAATGCGCAACTTTAAATAAATATAGATTTGTTATAACAACACTCCTACAACATCAGAGTGCAGCGCCACATTAAACACGCACTACAATGACAATAGTTTAAAGCAGGGGTCTCAAACCCGCGGCCCGCGGGCCAATTGCGGCCCGCGGAACGATATTTTGTGGCCCCCTACTTGACGGTGCACGAGGACTACAACATCAGACGTCATTACTTAACTAGACATACTGATGAGTATGCAAAATACCACGGAGATGAGAGAGAGAGGACCGGGTCGCCAATCTTAAAACACGTCTACTGAGGCAACAAGCTTTTGTTTTTAAGAAAGCAAGCAAAGAGAGTGATGCAGCAGTCGAAGCTAGCCATGTGGTGAGTGAGATGATTGCTAAGGCGGGAAAGCCATTCAAAGACGGCGAGTTCATCAAAAAGTGCATGTTACAGGCTGCACGTATAGTCTGTCCGGAAAAGGGTCAGTTTAGCAACATCAGCCAACACAGTGGCAGAGCGCATTTCTGACCTGTCAGGTAACGTACACATTCAACTGCGTGAGAAAGCCAACACATTTCCGTGCATACTCAGTCGCTCTTGATGAGAGCACAGACATGCATTGCAGCTCGCAATGCATGCCCGTGGTGTTGACGACAATTTTGAAGTGACGGAGGAGTTGCTCAGCGAATCCGACGCATGGCCAGACCATCGCTCAGGAGATATTCCGCCAGCCGCGTGACGCCATTGTGGATGCCGGTTTACCGTGGAAGAGGTTTGCTGGAATAACAACCGACGGGGCGCCATCGATGACAGGGAGGAGAAATGGACTGGTGGCACTTGCTCAAAGAAAACTGGAAGAGGAGGGTGTGGAGGAGGCCATTGCTCTGCAATGCATTATCCATCGGCAGGCCCTTTGCAGCAAATGCCTGGAGTTTGACAATGTGATGTCTGTCGTTGTGAAATGCATCAACCATATCAGATCCAGGGGCTTAAAGCACCGGCAGTTCCGCCCCTTTTTAGATGACATAGAGTCAGCATATGCGGATGTGCTCTACTTCACCGAGGTACGTTGGCCCAGCAGGGGAAACGTCTTGAAGAGGTTTTTTGAGTTGAGAGCAGAAGTGAAAGCCTTCATGGAGAAGGATGGGATGGCTGTTGCCGTGCTAAGTGATCCTAAATGGCTCATGGACTTAGATTTTCTTGTTGACATCACACAGGAGCTGAATGTACTGAACAATAAGTTACAAGGCCAGGGGCAGCTTGTCAGTGCTGCCTATGACAAAGTCAGAGCATTCTCCACAAAACTTGTGTTATGGAAAGCCCAGCTCTCTCAGACAAACCTCTGCCATTTCCCAGCATGCAAGGCACTCATGGACGCGGGCACACCATTCAGTGGTGAGAAGTATGCTGTCATTGTAAAGCTACAGGAGGAATTTGATCACAGGTTTGCAGACTTCAAGACACACAGAGCCACTTTTCAAATGTTTGCTGACCCCTTCTCCTTCGATGTGCAAGATGCCCCTCCTGTGCTTCAAATGGAGCTAATTTGTCCTGCAGTGCAATTCTGAACTCAAAGCCAAGTTCAGGGAGGTGAGTGCAAAAGCAGACAAGCTTGGACAACTTTTGAGAGAATTGCCCCTCACCTTCCCTGAGCTTTCCAGGATGTTCAAGCGGACCATGTGCCTTTTTGGGAGCACGTATCTGTGTGAAAAGCTCTTCTGCACGATGAACTTTAATAAGTCAAAGTACAGGTCCAAACTTACTGATGAGCATCTTCAAGCCATACTGAGGGTCTCAATTGCTTCCTCCCTCAAGCCAAATGTGGCTCAAGCTGTGTAAGAAGAGGAAGCGCTGTCAGGTCTCTGGCAGCAAGGAGTAGGTAAGAGATGCCTATGTTCTGAAGAACCGTTCATGTTCTGAACTGTTATTAAAAAAGATTGAGAAGATTGGATCAGTTGTACTTTTTTTTTGAATACTTGATGCGGCCCAGCCTCACCCAGACTCTACCTCCAGCGGCCCCCAGGTAAGTTGAGTTTGAGACCCCTGGTTTAAAGCGATTTGAAGCATGTATTATTTTCAAAACGGAAATACGCTTTTGTGGGGGTGGGGGGGGGCAGAGCTTTGTGACGTCATATTTGAGGGGGGGGGGGTCTGACTTTTTGTGACGCCGTGTGACGGGGGGGGGGGGGTCAAAAATCGTCCAAAATCGCGTGACGTCATTTATGGACGGCCCCTTTGCATTTCCACGTGACGATGATACGCCACTCTGTAGAGTTATTTTGCATTCCTCCGGTTTTTTTCCTCTTCTATTGTCGTTTTTTTGTAATTTGTTGACCCTCTGTCCCTACTTGGACATGTGCGTGAAAAAGAGCTTTATAGTTCATCGGATTCCTCCCTCCGGTCTAAATACAGAAGTTAATATTCACGAGGATGACGATCATCATCTCGTTAGCCAATCAGAGACGAGGGTTGACGCTGGCCTCGTGCAAAGACTTTGGGGAAGGGGCGTGGCGGGGGGCGGAGCTGGAGGAGGGGGGTGAGGGGGAGAGGTGAGGGGGGTGAGGTGAGGGGGTTGTGTGAGGGGATGGTGAGGGGGGTTGTGTGAGGGGGTAGTGAGGGGGGTGAGGTGAGGGGGGTTGTGTGAGGGGGTGGTGAGGGGGGTTGTGTGAGGGGGTGGTGAGGGGGTAGTGAGGGGGGTGAGGTGAGGGGGTTGTGTGAGGGGGGTTGTGTGAGGGGGTGGTGAGGGGTTGTGTGAGGGGGTGGTGAGGGGGGTTGTGTGAGGGGGTTGTGTGAGGGGGGTGGTGAGGGGGGTGAGGTGAGGGGGTTGTGTGAGGGGGGTTGTGTGAGGGGGTGGTGAGGGGGTGGTGAGGGGGGTGAGGTGAGGGGGTTGTGTGAGGGGGGTTGTGTGAGGGGGTTGTGTGAGGGGGGTTGTGTGAGGGGGTTGAGTGAGGGGGTGGTGAGGGGGGTGAGGTGAGGGGGTTGTGTGAGGGGGTGGTGAGGGGGTTGTGTGAGGGGGGTTGTGTGAGGGGGGTGAGGGGGATTGTGTGAGGTGGTGGTGAGGGGGGTGAGGTGAGGGGGGTTGTGTGAGGGGGTGGTGAGGGGTTGTGTGAGAGGGTGGTGAGGGGGGTTGTGTGAGGGGGGTGAGGTGAGGGGGTTGTGTGAGGGGGTGGTGAGGGGGGTTGTGTGAGGGGGTGGTGAGGGGGACGATGAAGGGGGGAGGTGAGGGGGGGGGTGAGGAGTGGTGAGGGGGGAGGCGAGAGGGGGTCTGAGGGGGAAAGGTGACGGGGGGAGGTTGAGGAGGGGGTGTGAGGAGTAAGTGGGGGGGGGGAGTTGAGGGGGATAGCTGAGGGGGGGGGGGGGGTGTGAGGAGGTGAGTGGGAGGGTGTGAAGGGGGGTGGTGAGGGGGTGAGGTGAGGTGGGAGGGAGGGGGGGAGTTGAGGAGGTGTGAGGGGTGGTGTGAGGGGGGTTGAGGCTGGATTTGTGAGGGGGAGTGAGGGAGAGGGGTGTCAGGGGGGGGGCGGCTGGTGGGGGGGCTGGTGAGGGGGCGGGCTTGAGGGGGAGGGAGCCGAAGGGTGTGAGGGGGGGGTATGTGAGCAGGGGATGGCAAGTCACCGACCAATGGGCGCGCGCCTTGCTGTGGAAGCGCGTGCGCTCCCGCCAACTTCCCGTCCAATCGGCGCCGCGGACAGAGCTAGGTGGGAGGCTGCCGAAAGCGCTTCGTCATTATCGGAGCTCGGGAGTCGAGACGCCTCCTCCGCCTCCTCCTCCTCCCCTCCCGTCACCGCTCGGTTGAAGTCAACCCCAACAAGTCAGCCCTCTCAAGTCGTCGTCGTCGCCGCCGCCGTCAGCGCCAACCGCGAACCGTCATGTCTGAGGTGAAGAAGAAGGAGCCGGCGCCAAAGAAGGCGGAGGACGAGAAGAATCGCAAGGAGAAGGCGCCCGACGAGAATCAGGTCCGGCCCTCGCGCCCGCGCCGCCATTCGGCTCGCCTCTCCCGCGCGTCATTCACTCTCCGTCGCGGCGAAGGCGACGAAGGCGGCGGCGGTCGTAGCGGTGACCCTGCTACGGTCCCCGATAACTAGTCGATGCGTGGTTTCGCGCCTGGACGCCGCGAACGTCGTCCTTGGCCGCGTTGTTTCGCCTCGTGCGGCGATCGCACCCTGCGGTTGATCGGGGCGTACAGTGCGTACAGTGCCATGACGTTACAGTCTTGCAACGAATAGTTGGGGAGAGATGGCTGGGGATGCTCTCTCGCTCGCTCTCTCGCTCTCACTCTGTCTCACTGTCACGCACTCTCTCACGCACTCACGCTCTCTCTCACGCACTCTCACTCTGTCTCACGCACTCTCTCACGCACTCTCTCTCTCACGCACTCTCACGCTGTCACGCTCTCTCACGCTCTCTCTCTAACGCCCTCTCTAACTCTCTCTCACTGTCACGCTCTCTCTCACACACTCTCACGCTCTCTCACGCACTTTCACTCACGCACTCTCACTGTCACTCACTCTCTCACACACTCACTCACTGTCACGCTCTCTCACCGTCACTCACTCTCTCACACACTCTCACTGTCACGCTCGCTCTCTCACTGTCACTCACTCTCTCACGCTCTCTCACTCACTGTAACGCTCTCACTGTCACTCACTCTCTCACGCACTCTCACTCACACTCTCTCACTCATTGTAACGGTCTCTCTCTCACTGTCACTCACTCCTCACACTCACGCTCTCACTCTCACGCGCTCACCCTTACGCTCTCTCACACGCTCGCTCTCACGCTCTCTCTCACGCTCTCTCAGTCTTCTCGCGCCCTCTCACTCAAGCTCGATCGCTCTCTATAACTAACAAACACGAAATAATAAACTGCGCTTGTTACGTGCAAGTGTTTTTAATACATTTGGCATGTCATGTGCGTGTGTAGTGGGGAGCGGTAGTGTAGCGGTTCGCGCTGCAAACCCGGCGACCCGAGTTCGATTTTCGCTCACGGCCAACAGCGGTGACGATTATCTGAACCGGTCCTGGGCCTCACCCTAGGTTGACTCGGCCTCAAATGAGTACCTGGTGCAGTGTGTAAAAAGCATCGCCACTGGGGAGACAAAGGCGGCCGGGCGTGGTGCTGGCCACCCACTCCCTCGCGTGGCGCTCCGGCCTTCATAGGCGCTGCTTCTCGCTAACAGCACTTGCCCCAGCAGTCTGTTAAGGCTATGCGGGGTGGGGGGGTCTTTATCTTTGTTACGTGCAATTCTTGCACCCTGTTTGCCTGTGACTTCGCATGTACTCTGACACGGTTATTTGACACAGCTTTGACCACGATTCGCTCGTTGGTCTAATTATATTAAACGTGGCAATTCGTATTTAACACGTGGGTAGGTTAATGACACCGCTGAAACTGCTACAGGTTTCGTGGGCTTTGGCAGGACACGGCGTGACAAAGGATCCGTTCCGTCTTTATTTTACGTGCCAATATCGCCCCCCTCATTAAAGTGGGCATCGGTGCACATCACAGCAGAACGGGGAATGGCACGGGGGGCATAGAGAGCAACACGACCCTCAGCGGCTAACACGGACTGAGAAAAGTGAATTGCAGTGGTCAGGAATTCTAAGGGAGTAGCGGGGCTGACGAATGGAACGCGTCCGAGAGAGGGCACAATGAAATAAGTACCGCGTGCAAGTGCTGGGGTGGGTTGTTACATCACAGGATCGTGAGAGATATCTTGGGGGTGGGTTGAGGCCTTCATCCAGCAGTGGAGTGACCGTGGCTTACTGTGATAATGAGAACATTAACATTTATATGATAACAGTATACCGTATGATGGAATGAGGAATTGGTTTTACCCTTTGCTGTCAATAAAACAGGAGGTGTTAAGATGTTCAAACACCAAAAATTCACCTTTTGCAAGGTATCAAGTCTGCGTTAACCACACGCAGTACTTGCGGTGAACATGCAAACAAAACATGCTCTGATAATATACGATTGGCTTACACCAGGGACAGTCTCCTTTATGGCCTTGTTTCACCAGTGTTAGACCAGAGAACGCCAAACGGCGAACAGTACAGAGGCAATGCAAGTGTCAGGGTATTTATAGCTCGGGCCGAGCAGTCATGTCGATGGGATACCTTTTTTTGCCAGTTTCGAAGGAGCAGCCAATAATTAAACCGCTGCCTGGATTAATCGTTGACAGATAATTGAAGAATTTTACATATAAATACTTAATAAGAAACATTATTTTGACATGGAGAGACAGACTTCTGCTTATATACTGTGCTGTTCGTTTTTTTTCGGTTGCTCCCTTGGTTAATCACCTCTTCCTCCCCCCGCCGCCGCGCCCTCACCCCCTGCATCCCTTACCCCCCCCAACATCATCGTCATCATCATCAGGACCTGTCTGACGAAGACAAGCAGCTGCAGGAGGAGCTGTCGCTGCTGGTGGAGCGCCTCTCCGAGACGGAGGCCCCCGCCCTGCAGCGCGCCGCCCTGGAGGAGCTGCGCCGTCAGATCCGCAGCTCCACCACCTCCATGACGTCCGTGCCCAAGCCGCTCAAGTTCCTGCGGCCGCACTACGCCGCCCTCTGCGCCGCCTGGGAGGCCACGCCGCCCGGCGAGGAACGCCGGTTCTGCGCCGACATCGTCTCGGTGCTCGCCATGACGGTGAGCGCCGAGCGCGACTGCCTGCGCTACCGCCTGCGCGGCTCGCAGGAGCCGCTGGCGTCGTGGGGCCACGAGTACGTGCGCCACCTCGCCGGCGAAGTGGCCAAGGCCTGGCAGGACGCGACCGAGGAAGACGGCGGCGGCGGCGGCGAATCCGAAGGCGTGGCGGCAGCTGGGGGCGGGCGCGCGGCGCTGCTGAAGCTGGTGGAGGAGATCGTCCCGTACGACATGGCGCACAACGCGGAGCCCGAGGCGTGCGACCTCCTCATGGAGATCGAGCGCCTGGACCTGCTGTCGGCGCACGTCGACGAGTCGACCTTCACCAAGGTGTGCCTCTACCTGACGTCGTGCGTGAGCTACGTGCCCGAGCCCGAGAGCGGCGCCCTGCTCCGCTGCGCCCTCGCCACGCTGCGCCAGTTCGGGCGCCACCCCGAGGCGCTGCGCCTCGCGCTGCAGCTCAACGACGCCGACCTGATCGCCGACGTCTTCTCGTCGTGCCGCGACGTCACCGTGCAGAAGCAGATGGCCTTCGTGCTGGGCCGCCACGGCGTCTTCCTCGAGCTCAGCGAGGAGCTCGAGGAGTTCGAGGACCTCACCGAGATCATGTCCAACGTGCAGCTCAACTCCAACTTCCTGTCGCTGGCGCGCGAGCTTGACATCATGGAGCCCAAGGTGCCCGAGGACATCTACAAGACCCACCTCGAGAACAACCGCTTCGGCCCCAGCGGCTCGCAAGTGGACTCGGCGCGCATGAACCTGGCGTCGTCGTTTGTCAACGGCTTCGTGAACGCCGCCTTCGGGCAGGACAAGCTGCTGACGGAGGAGGGCAACAAGTGGCTGTACAAGAACAAGGAGCACGGCATGCTGAGCGCCACAGCCTCGCTGGGCCTCGTGCTGCTTTGGGACGTCGACGGGGGCCTGACGCAGATCGACAAGTACCTGTACTCCACGGAGGAGTACATCAAGGCGGGCGCGCTGCTGGCGTGCGGCATCGTCAACTCGGGCGTGCGCAACGAGTGCGACCCGGCGCTGGCGCTGCTCTCCGACTACGTGCTGCACGCGAGCAACACGACGCGCGTTGGCGCCGTCTTCGGCCTGGGCCTGGCATACGCGGGCTCGAACCGCGAGGACGTGCTCGCGCTGCTCCTGCCGGCGCTCGCCGACGGCAAGGCGAGCATGGAGGCGGTGGGCGTGGCGGCGCTCGCCTGCGGCATGATCGCCGTGGGCTCGTGCAACGGCGACGTCACCTCGGCCGTGCTGCAGGCGCTCATGGAGAAGTCGGAGGCGGAGCTGCGCGAGACCTACGCCAAGTGGCTGGCGCTGGGACTGGCGCTCACCTACCTGGGGCGCGGCGAGGCCGTCGAGACCATCCTGGCGGCGCTCGAGGTGGTGCCGGAGCCCTTCCGCAGCTTCGCCAACGTGCTGGTGGACGTGTGCGCCTACGCGGGCTCGGGCAACGTGCTCAAGGTGCAGCAGCTGCTGCACGTGTGCAGCGAGCACTACGAGGGCAAGAAGGACTCGTCGGACGAGGGCGCCGACAAGAAGGACAAGAAGAAGGACGCGGCGGGGGGCGGCTCGGGGGCCGACGCCGGCGCCCACCAGGGCGCGGCCGTGCTGGGCATCGCCCTCATCTCCATGGGCGAGGAGATCGGCGGCGAGATGGCGCTGCGCACCTTCGGCCACCTGCTGCGCTACGGCGAGGCGCACGTGCGGCGCGCCGTGCCGCTGGCGCTCGCGCTCCTCTCGGTGTCCAACCCGCGCCTCGGCCTGCTCGACACGCTCAGCAAGTTCTCGCACGACTCGGACGCCGAGGTGGCGCACAACGCCATATTCGCCATGGGCATCGTGGGCAGCGGCACCAACAACGCGCGGCTCGCCGCCATGCTGCGCCAGCAGGCGCAGTACCACGCCAAGGACCCCAACAACCTGTTCATGGTGCGCCTGGCGCAAGGCCTCACGCACCTGGGCAAGGGCACTCTGTCGCTGTCGCCCTACCACAGCGACCGGCAGCTGCTGTCGCAGGTGGCGCTGGCGGGCCTGCTGGCGGTGCTCGTGTCCTTCCTGGACGTGCGCACGGTCATCCTGGGCCGCTCGCACTACGTGCTGTACGCGCTCGTGTCGGCCATGCAGCCGCGCATGCTGGTGACGTTCGATGAGGAGCTGCGCCCGCTGCCCGTGGCGGTGCGCGTGGGCCAGGCGGTGGACGTCGTGGGCCAGGCGGGCAAGCCCAAGACCATCACGGGCTTCCAGACGCACACGACGCCCGTGCTGCTGGCGCACGGGGAACGCGCGGAGCTCGCCACCGAGGAGTACCTGCCCGTCACGCCCATCGTGGAGGGCTTCGTCATCCTGCGCAAGAACCCCAACTACGACAGCTGAGGGGTGGAGACGAGGCGGCGGGTGAGGGGCGCAGAGAGAGAGAGAAAGCGGAGTGGGAGGGAAGGAGGGAGGGAGAGACGGAGAGAGGATTGGAGTGGGGAGGAGAGAAAGAGTACGGGTTAGCAGGGAAGAGGGAGGAGAGAGGCGTTAGGGAGTAGGGGAGAGGAGAGGGAGGGAGTGCGAGAGGGGGAGAGGTGGGGAGAGAAGGGAGGATATTAAGGTGGGTGACCAAAAGAGGCGCCACTCACTCTCCTGAAATCTTCTGAATTTGGATCGCAGCTTTCACGTCATTCAGACTAAACTGGTTTTAAGAGTGTGTGGGGCTATAGCACCTCCTTCAATCAAAGTATAACTTCGGTTAGGGCGGAGGGGGGGGGTCAGAGCAAGGAGACATGTCTCAGTTGCTGCATAAAAAATGTTTTTTAGTGGTTGCTTGCAGCCCTGCTGCACAAGACCACGAGCAACACCCAAGGGTTCTAATCCTCGAGTTTTTTTACCCCCTTCCTCAGCTTAGAGCAGTGATTCTTAACATTCACTGCAGCCTTTGCACCCCTTTGGTTCTCAACCGTTGAAACTAAAATTATAATGCAAATAAATCCAAAGGTTTGATGAAACAAAGTAAGTCGTACTTTACGTGCCCGTGCTTAATTTGTGATTTCGACGATTTACCTTCTAACAATGAAGAAATCTGGCCATGTCCCGTGCGCCCCCAGAAAGGGCATCTCGCACCCCCCGGTTAAGAACCACTGGCTCAGAGGATGAACTGGCTGAGGGTTATGGTAGGTTTCGGGGCCGTCTCGCCCCCTGCTCGCAATCACACGGTGACTCTAACCTGACGATTCTGGGGGGAGGGGTGGGGGGAGTTATAGCATTGCTGCGATTTAAGGGGCGAATTAGGATTTGGGGTGGCGTTTTGGGTGTGAAGGATGACTGGGGGCGGGGGGGGGGGGGTGGTGGTTGCCACCTGGTAAGACTCGTGGTAAGGGCAATACCTAGTCTGGCTCTCTTACCGTGCGGTGCCCGGGTTTAGAGTTATGGCTAAAGAGTGCCACGGTGGCGACATGCTGACTACCTCGCTTGGTATACAGGAGGTCGTGGGTTAGATCCCGACCCTGACGCCTGCTGTATATTTGGAGTTTGCATGTTCACCCCGTGGCCGCGTGGATTTTTCTCCGGGTCCTCTGTTCTTTTCCCCCACCACGTTTAGAATCAGAATCGCGTGTTTTTTTGTTATATTTGGCAACTCGTACAAATTTCCACCTGACGATGAGCAACTTCGTGTTGAGCTATCACATTTGTGATAGCCAGGTCGCTTCTGATAAAAAAAAAACGAGCTACGCAGCTCAGTGGGGCCTTACCTGGTAAAATAAGAACAAAACTTTATCGTTTTAAAGTTTAAGTTTGTTCCTGCTCTGTCGCAGGTTTACCCCTTCACGGAGGTCAGAGTTACAGATTGAAAGTCAGGTTCAGAGTTTAATCGAGACCGGAGTTCACTTCGGGTTATTAACCCCCCCCCCTTCCTCCCCCCTCTTTTACACTCAAACCAGACTCGACACAGCTTGTGTAAAAACAAAAATAAATAAAAAAGTACACGATAAAAATATAACGTCATGTTCCGTGAATTTAAAAAAGCAGCGTCCCCCCCCCCGCTGTCTTTGGCGTGTGACCGTTTTTCCCCCCCCTTGGGCGCACGAGGCGATTGCTGTCGGCAATCCACGGAGGAGAACAAAAAAAATAACGCGTAGACTAAACGTCGACCGGATAACCGGCATAAACAGTTGGCGGCGGCGGTGGGGTGGGCGTGTTGAGTGGAGTTAATAAGGGTGTAGATATACTACTGGGAGCATCCACGGGGGAGCCGAGATGTTAACTGCCTCGCCTGGTATACAAGAGGCTCGTGTTCGATCCCGAACCTGATGCCTGCTGTATGTTTGGAGTTTGCGTGTCCTTTCACTCCCTTGAATTGAGGATGTCGGCTACTGCTATAAATTTCCACGCGACGACGATAAGCCACTTGAGCTATTGTTCGTGTCCCAGGTTGCTTCTGAAAAAGAGCAACGTAGCTCAGTGGGGACTTGCCTGGTAAAATAAAAAATAATTAATAGTTAGCCTTACCTTCACCCCCCCACCTCCGCCCCACGTGAAAATGGACACGTCCGTTGCATGTCGCCCACGGTTACATAACACCCAATAGACCCGTCCAGCGCTCGTTAGTCGAGGACGTAAACGCACGCGTTTATCAGGCCTCCCTCCCCCACGCAGCGTCGGTTGTTTGACCATACTTCACCGCTCTGGTCCGTGTGCGGACGCGGGCGGACGCTTGACAAAGCGGCTCCCGGTTCATACAAGAAATGCGGCTGCCCGCGTAACCATTGTCGGTCCTGAGCCAATGGTGGGAATCCCGCATTTTTTTTATGCCTGGGGCCAGGTTATCCGTAGAACATTGAATGCCTGCTGACTTCCCGATGTAGTCCCCTACGTATTTTATCCACTCTGGAGGGGATGATGGGCTGAGCTGACCGCAGTGCCGGTGACCCCAGCATAGATTGGTCCCCTGTAGCTTAGGCCTGTTCACACTGGGCTGTTCACACCATCCTGTTCCGTCAGAACAGGTGCCGTAGTGGTCACGACGATTACCGAGTCAGTTTCGTCAGGAAGAACGTTATATCGGATCTACATTTTGTTCCAAACAAAACCCGCTCGTTTGGAATTGGGGGGGGGGGGGGGTGGGCGGTGGGAATCCTATTCAGAATTGCGGAATGCCGACACCTCGACCGGGAAGTCACGCTTTTACGCGATCCGGAGATTTTTTTTTTTATCACGGTTTGGGAATAACCCACGAACTTTCCTTTTCCCAGGATTTGGTGTTTGTCCTGTTCCGCGGCCACATACCAGCCAACCCATCCCTCCGTCCGCATGCAAAGGGCAGCGGCCGCTGGTCAGTTTACTCGCCTGGTCGTGGACACAGGTGGCCATCAATAAAGTTTCACTGCTGGCCCTCGTTCCATAAGAGTGCTGCGGAAAGCCCGCGGAAAGTCGCCGCCGCTTGCACATGATTAGATCACTTTCTCGTAGCAAGCGGTGGCGGGGTAGGGGGGTGGTGGTGGTGGTGGTGTGGTCTGCGCGCGCGCGCGTGTGCGCGCGGTGCATTCGAACTGGATTTGTGCTTCGTGTGTATTCGGCGAGGCTCGTGGAAGGAAGGCGGCTGCCTGGGACACGCTCTCTGGCAGTCCCCAACGACGCAGGTGCCCGCGTGTTTCTTTTTCGTCGGCAACGTCCGCAACAAGTAATAAAACGTTTGTACTTGTAGTTGTGCTCGTTTGGTGGCTTCGTACGCGCACAGTAATTACACCGGTTTGCATAGGCGGGATGGCGTTTGGCACGCGACGACGGGTATATCGAAACGGTGTCAAATCGAAGTGGTTTAGGTAGGCGAGGGCGATTAATTCTGAGATGCGACGGGTAACGAGAAAGGTCGGACGTTGCTGCCGGCGACGTAATAATAATCTACTGGATGAATCCGACGAGCTATTATAAAGCGCTATTTCACAGATGTTCGGCAGGGGGCACGGGGTCGGAACGTTGCAACAACAAACGATACAAAAACACTGTAGGAGTGCAAAGATACAAGTGCGCAGGTTGAGGTGCAAATCGGAGTCGCGGTATCTGTAAAGCAACGACGTGTTTGCGAAATTACTTAAAAGGGCGGAGAAACGCAAATCGGGGTATGACTAAATGCAATGGCCTGTCTTTCAACACTGAGCTATTAGCTTATTTTTCAGAAGCGACCTGGCAACCACAAACGATAGCTCAACGAAGTGGTTTATCATCACGTGGAAAGAAATGGCTGTCAATTACTTTTAAACTCGTCGACACTGCGTAGAGACACAGAGACACATCGAGGCCCAGAGACTAAACTCATCCATTTTATTTGCCAGGTCAGGCCCACTGAGCTGTATAGCTCTTTTTTCGGAAGCAACCTGGCCATCGCAAATGAAAGCTCAATGAAGTGGGCTTATCATCGTCACGTGGAAATTTATAGCAGTGGCCAAATACTCTAAACGCGTGGATGTTGATTCTCAACGTGGAGGGGGAAACCGGAGGACCCGGAAGAAAATACACGCGACCACGGGGAGAGAGACACGGCAAACTTCAAATATACAGCAGGCGTCAGGGTCGGGATCGAACCCACAACCTACCAGGCGAGGTAGTTAACATCTCGCCACTGTGGCACTTAAACGGTGGGCTAAGCACATATCCACGATATACAATCCTGCCCCCACCCAAGAGCAACCTGATCAGTTTTCCCAGCTGAGACATCCATCCACGCAATCAGCCTCTGGTTGCCGCTTCAGAACTGGGACCGACTTCGGGTGCTGCGGAGGAAGCTGACATTGGATCGGCTGGCTGGCCCGCTGTGACGCTCGCGTGTGACAAGGTGCATTGATGAAACCGTGATGACGACTCCAGGTGGTGTGACAGGGTCACGGGGACACCCAGGTGTTGTGATGGAGAGGTCACGGGACACCCAGGTGTTGTGGTGGAGAGGTCACGGGACACCCAGGTGTTGTGATGGAGAGGTCACGGGACACCCAGGTGGTGTGATGGAGAGGTCACGGGACACCCAGATGTTGTGATGGAGAGGTCACGGGACACGCAGGTGTTGTGGTGGAGAGGTCACGGGACACCCAGGTGTTGTGGTGGAGAGGTCACGGGACACCCAGGTGTTGTGATGGAGGGGTCACGGGACACCCAGGTGTTGTGGTGGAGAGGTCACGGGACACCCAGGTGTTGTGATGGAGGGGTCACGGGACACCCAGGTGTTGTGGTGGAGAGGTCACGGGACACCCAGGTGTTGTGGTGGAGAGGTCACGGGACACGCAGGTGTTGTGGTGGAGAGGTCACGGGACACCCAGATGTTGTGGTGGAGAGGTCACGGGACACCCAGGTGTTGTGGTGGAGAGGTCACGGGACACGCAGGTGTTGTGGTGGAGAGGTCACGGGACACAGGTGTTGTGGTGGAGAGGTCACGGGACACCCAGGTGTTGTGGTGGAGAGGTCACGGGACACCCAGGTGTTGTAATGGAGAGGTCACGGGACACGCAGGTGTTGTGGTGGAGAGGTCACGGGACACCCAGGTGTTGTGATGGAGAGGTCACGGGACACCCAGGTGTTGTGATAGAGAGGTCACGGGACACCCAGGTGTTGTGATGGAGAGGTCACGGGACACCCAGGTGTTGTGGTGGAGAGGTCACGGGACACCCAGGTGTTGTGATGGAGAGGTCACGGGACACGCAGGTGTTGTGGTGGAGAGGTCACGGGACACCCAGGTGTTGTGGTGGAGAGGTCACGGGACACCCAGGTGTTGTGATGGAGGGGTCACGGGACACCCAGGTGTTGTGGTGGAGAGGTCACGGGACACCCAGGTGTTGTGGTGGAGAGGTCACGGGACACGCAGGTGTTGTGGTGGAGAGGTCACGGGACACCCAGGTGTTGCGGTGGAGAGGTCACGGGACACCCAGGTGTTGTGATGGAGGGGTCACGGGACACGCAGGTGTTGTGGTGGAGAGGTCACGGGACACCCAGGTGTTGTGGTGGTGAGGTCACGGGACACGCAGGTGTTGTGGTGGAGAGGTCACGGGACACCCAGGTGTTGTGGTGGTGAGGTCACGGGACACCCAGGTGTTGTGGTGGAGAGGTCACGGGACACCCAGGTGTTGTGATGTAGAGGTCACGGGACACGCAGGTGTTGTGGTGGAGAGGTCACGGGACACGCAGGTGTTGTGGTGGAGAGGTCACGGGACACTCAGGTATAATTATATACAGTATTACATCGGCAAGTCACGTGTGTATTTCTACATGTCCTAACATGCACATCTATACAACAACAGCCGCCATTCGCCACTTAAGTCGCGGTGACGTCACAACCGAGCCTGTGCCAGGCCAGGTGCACTTTGAGGCCACGTGAAGTGTCGAAGGCTCGCTGGCAGGAGGTCACGGGGCAGACCCAAGTGCCACGGGTCGACTGACTGAGATGACTGAGATGACTAGCCGATGCACCACCTGTGCCCCTTACTGTGACAACTTGCTGTGCGTCGCTCCTCCGCCCTCCGTTGTTGCTGGAGGGCGACTGCCTCCAACTGCCCAGTAGCGTCCATCACGAGCCTCCTCCACAGAGGCCGATCTTGACACCGCTGGTACCAGTCGTCGGCAAGTCCACTCAGCTCCACGTCCTCCTGTACCACATCACTCCATCTCTTCTCTAGCCCGTGCCACGAGTGCACACACCAAGACAAAGATCCCCCGCATAGGCATAACAGACTCTTCCGGCAAGTGCTGTTAGCGAACAGCACCACGCCCGACCGCCACACGCACGCCCCACTCACCACACACTCACCCCCACTCATCACACCCCCACTCATCACACCCCCCACTCACCACACACCCCCACTCATCACACGCACCCCCACTCACCACACATCTTCACTCACCACACGCACCCACTCACCACACACCCCCACTCATCACACGCACCCCCACTCACCACACACTCACCCCCACTCACCACACACCTCCACTCACCACACACTCACCCCCCACTCACCACACGCACCCCCACTCACCACTCACCTCCACTCATCACACACTCACCCCCACTCACCACACTCACCCCTACTCACCACTCACCTCCACTCATCACACACTCACCCCCACTCACCACTCTCACCCCCACTCACCACACACTCACCCCCACTCACCACTCTCACCCCCACTCACCACTGTCACCCTCACTCACCACTCTCACCCCCACTCACCACACACTCACCCCCACTCACCACACTCACCCCCACTCACCACTCTCACCCCCACTCACCACTCTCACCCCCACTCACAACACTCACCCCCACTAACCACACTCACCCCCACTCACCACTCTCACCCCCACTCACCACACACCCCCACTCACCACTCTCACCCCCACTCACCACTCTCACCCTCACTCACCACTCTCACCCCCACTCACAACACTCACCCCCACTCATCAGACCCCCCACTCACCACTCTCACCACACTCACCACTCTCACCCCCACTCACCACACTCACCCACACTCACCACTCTCACCTCCACTCACCACTCTCACCCCCACTCACCACTCTCACCCCCACTCACCACTCTCACCTCGACTCACCACACACTCACCCCCACTCACCACTCTCACCCCCACTAACCACACTCACCCCTCACTCACCACACGCACCCCTCACTCACCACTCTCACCCCCACTCACCACACACTCACCTCCACTCACCACTCTCACCCCCACTCACCACACACTCACCCCCACTCACCACTCTCACCCCCACTCACCACTCTCACCCTCACTCACCACTCTCACCCCCACTCACCACTCTCACCCCCACTCACAACAATCACCCCCACTCATCAGACCCCCCACTCACCACTCTCACCACACTCACCACTCTCACCCCCACTCACCACACTCACCCCCACTCACCACTCTCACCTCCACTCACCACTCTCACCCCCACTCACCACTCTCACCCCCACTCACCACTCTCAACCCCACTCACCACACACTCACCCCCACTCACCACTCTCACCCCCACTAACCACACTCACCCCTCACTCACCACTCTCACCCCCACTCACCACTCTCACCCCTACTCACAACACTCACCCCCACTCATCACACCCCCCACTCACCACTCTCACCCCCACTCACCACTCTCACTCCCACTTACCACACTGACCCCCACTCATCACACCCCCCACTCACCACACACTCAGCCCCACTCATCACACGCACCCCCACTCACCACACACTCACCCCCACTCACCACACACCTCCACTCACCACACACTCACCCCCACTCACCACTCTCACCCACACTCATCACACTCACCCCCATTCACCACTCTCACCCCTCACTCACCACACTCACCCCCCACTCACCACTCTCACCCCCCACTCACCACTCTCACCCCCACTCACCACTCTCACCACCACTCTCACCCCCACTCACCACTCTCACCACCACTCTCACCCCCACTCACCACTCTCACCCCCACTCACCACTCTCACCCCCACTCACCACACTCACCCCCACTCACCACTCACACCCCCACTCACCACACACTCACCACTCTCACCCCCACTCACCACTCTCACCCCCACTCACCACTCTCACTCCCACTCACCACACACTCACCCCCACTCACCACTCTCACCCCCACTCATCACACTTACCCCCATTCACCACTCTCACCCCTCACTCACCACACTCACCCCCCACTCACCACTCTCACCCCCCACTCACCACTCTCACCCCCACTCACCACTCTCACCACCACTCTCACCCCCACTCACCACTCTCACCACCACTCTCACCCCCACTCACCACTCTCACCCCCACTCACCACTCTCACCCGCACTCACCACACTCACCCCCACTTACCACTCACACCCCCACTCACCACACACTCACCACTCTCACCCCCACTCACCACTCTCACCCCCACTCACCACTCTCACCCCCACTCACCACACACTCACCCCCACTCACCACTCACACCCCCACTCACCACACTCACCCCCACTCACCATTCTCACCCCCACTCACCACTCTCACCCCCACTCACCACTCTCACCCCCACTCACCACACACTCACCCCCACTCACCACACTCACCCCCACTCACCACTCACACCCCCACTCACCACACACTCACCACTCTCACCCCCACTCACCACTCTCACCCCCACTCACCACACTCACCCCCACTCACCACACTCACCCCCACTCACCACTCTCACCCCCACTCACAACACTCACCCTCACTCACCACACTCACCCCCACTCACCACACTCACCCCCACTCACCACTCTCACCCCCACTCACAACACTCACCCCCACTCATCACACCCCCACTCACCACACTCACCCCCACTCACCACTCTCACCCCCACTCATCACACCCCCCACTCACCACTCTCACCCCCACTCACCACTTTCACCCCCACTCACCACTCTCACCCCCACTCACCACTCTCACCACCACTCACCACACCCCCCACTCACCACTCTCACCCCCACTCACCACACACTCACCACTCTCACCCCTTACTCACCACACTCACCCCCACTCACCACTCTCACCCCCACTCACCACACTCTCACCACTCTCACCCCCACTCATCACTCTCACCCCACTCACCACTCTCACCCCTCACTCACCACTCTCACCACACACTCACCCCCACTCACCACTCTCACCCCCAGTCACCACTCTCACCCCCACTCACCACTCTCACCCCCACTCACCACTCTCACCCCTCACTCACCACTCTCACCCCTACTCACCACTCTCACCCCTCACTCACCCCACACTCACCACTCTCACCCCCACTCACCACTCTCACCCCCACTCATCACTCTCACCCCCACTCACCACTCTCACCCCTCACTCACCACTCTCACCCCCACTCACCACTCTCACCCCTCACTCACCACACACTCACCACTCTCACCCCCACTCACCACTCTCACCCCCACTCACCACTCTCACCCCTCACTCACCACTCTCACCCCCACTCACCACTCTCACCCCTCACTCACCACTCTCACCCCCACTCACCACTCTCACCCCTCACTCACCCCACACTCACCACTCTCACCCCCACTCACCACTCTCACCCCCACTCATCACTCTCACCCCCACTCACCACTCTCACCCCTCACTCACCACTCTCACCCCCACTCACCACTCTCACCCCTCACTCACCACTCTCACCCCCACTCACCACCCTCACCCCTCACTCACCACACACTCACCACTCTCACCCCCACTCACCACTCTCACCCCCACTCAGCACTCTCACCCCCACTCACCACCCTCACCCCTCACTCACCACTCTCACCCCCACTCACCACTCTCACCCCTCACTCACCACTCTCACCCCCACTCACCACTCTCACCCCCACTCAGCACTCTCACCCCCACTCACCACCCTCACCCCTCACTCACCACTCTCACCCCCACTCACCACTCTCACCCCTCACTCACCACTCTCACCCCCACTCACCACTCTCACCCCCACTCACCACTCTCACTCCTCACTCACCACTCACACCCCCACTCACCACTCTCACCCCTCACTCACCACACACTCACCACTCTCACCCCTCACTCGCCACACTCACCCCCACTCACCACTCTCACCCCAGGCACCCCACGCCCCCTTCCTTCCTACGCCGGCCCCAGAGTCAACACTGCGATCCGACGCGCTCGCGGTTCCTCTAGAAACAAATTCGTCAACAAATACATCGTCGCCTCCTACTCCACCACCACTCAGCCTCTCTCTCACTCTCTACTCACCAGGGGTCTAATACAGCCGTCTTACAGCTACTACACCTGTTTCGCGTTAAGAAGGTCTCTGCATCACCTGGCGGTGCTTTCAGATGCGCTGCCTCCTCGGCCGTCTGGAACGCTCTCTTCCTTCCGATATTAGGACGGCACTGGGATCTCTACTGTACTTTTAAATAGTCATCATCGAGGTTGATAAACCCATTTCTTTCGAAGCTGCTGTTGTGTTTTGGGGGGGGGGGGGGGGGTTCGTGTCCCTCCGCGACACGTCCGATTAGCACGTTTGGTTAGCTACGTACGGTGCGAAAGAAGTTAAAACGTGCACAGACACGCGTCTCGGAGCAAGAGGATCAACCGCTTGGACGAGGTCTGTCGCTCTTCGCTGTGGGTCTCTGCTTTTTTGTTGTGTGTGTGTGTCTCTGCGTCTCTCTCCGCGTGTCTGTGTTCTACCCCATGTCTGCTTCGCCTGTATCCCTACGAATTTGTCTCTCTGTGGCTGTCCCTGTCTCCCGGTGTCTGTCAGCGCTGTCTCGGTGTCTCACCTCGTCTGGCTGTGCGTGGGCTTTTATCTGTCTACCACTTTGTCGATCTCTGGCAATCTCTCCAATCACAGGGAGACTGCGAATACAGCTGTCTCACTACTACACCTGTCTCACTACTACACCTGTCTCACTACTACACCTGTCTCACTACTACACCTGTCTTACTACTGAACCTGTCTCACTACTGCACCTGTCTCACTACTACACCTGTCTCACTACCACACCTGTCTCACTACCACACCTGTCTCACTACTACACCTGTCTCACTACTACACCTGTCTCACTACTACACCTGTCTCACTACTACACCTGTCTCACTACAGCTGTCTCACTACCACACCTGTCTCACTACTACACCTGTCTCACTACCACACCTGTCTCACTACTGAACCTGTCTCACTACCACACCTGTCTCACTACCACACCTGTCTCACTACTGAACCTGTCTCACTACCACACCTGTCTCACTACCACACCTGTCTCACTACTACAGCTGTCTCACTACTACAGCTGTCTCACTACTACACCTGTCTCACTACTACACCTGTCTCACTACTACAGCTGTCTCACTACCACACCTGTCTCACTACTATACCTGTCTCACTACTACAGCTGTCTCACTACTACAGCTGTCTCACTACTACACCTGTCTCACTACTACACCTGTCTCACTACTACACCTGTCTCACTACCACACCTGTCTCACTACCACACCTGTCTCACTACCACACCTGTCTCACTACTACACCTGTCTCACTACTACACCTGTCTCACTACTACACCTGTCTCACTACCACACCTGTCTCACTACTACACCTGTCTCACTACTACACCTGTCTCACTACTACACCTGTCTCACTACCACACCTGTCTCACTACCCCACCTGTCTCACTACTACAGCTGTCTCACTACCACACCTGTCTCACTACTACACCTGTCTCACTACCACAGCTGTTTCACTACTACACCTGTCTCACTACCACAGCTGTCTCACTACTACACCTGTCTCACTACCACACCTGTCTCACTACTACACCTGTCTCACTACCACACCTGTCTCACTACCACACCTGTCTCACTACTACACCTGTCTCACTACTACACCTGTCTCACTACTACACCTGTCTCACTACCACACCTGTCTCACTACAGCTGTCTCACTACTACACCTGTCTCACTACTACACCTGTCTCACTACTACACCTGTCTCACTACCACAGCTGTCTCACTACTACAGCTGTCTCACTACCACACCTGTCTCACTACCACACCTGTCTCACTACTACACCTGTCTCACTACTACAGCTGTCTCACTACCACAGCTGTCTCACTACTACACCTGTCTCACTACTACAGCTGTCTCACTACCACACCTGTCTCACTACCACACCTGTCTCACTACTACACCTGTCTCACTACCACAGCTGTCTCACTACCACAGCTGTCTCACTACTACACCTGTCTCACTACCACACCTGTCTCACTACAGCTGTCTCACTACTACACCTGTCTCACTACCACAGCTGTCTCACTACTACAGCTGTCTCACTACCACACCTGTCTCACTACCACACCTGTCTCACTACCACACCTGTCTCACTACCACAGCTGTCTCACTACTACACCTGTCTCACTACTACACCTGTCTCACTACCACAGCTGTCTCACTACTACACCTGTCTCACTACTACATCTGTCTCACTACCACAGCTGTCTCACTACTACACCTGTCTCACTACTACACCTGTCTCACTACCACACCTGTCTCACTACTACACCTGTCTCACTACCACAGCTGTCTCACTACCACACCTGTCTCACTACTACAGCTGTCTCACTACCACACCTGTCTCACTACTACAGCTGTCTCACTACCACAGCTGTCTCACTACTACAGCTGTCTCACTACCACACCTGTCTCACTACCACAGCTGTCTCACTACTACACCTGTCTCACTACTACAGCTGTCTCACTACCGCACCTGTCTCACTACCACACCTGTCTCACTACTACAGCTGTCTCACTACCACACCTGTCTCACTACCACAGCTGTCTCACTACTACAGCTGTCTCACTACCACACCTGTCTCACTACCACAGCTGTCTCACTACTACACCTGTCTCACTACCACACCTGTCTCACTACTACAGCTGTCTCACTACCACACCTGTCTCACTACCACAGCTGTCTCACTACTACAGCTGTCTCACTACCACACCTGTCTCACTACTACACCTGTCTCACTACTACACCTGTCTCACTACCACACCTGTCTCACTACTACAGCTGTCTCACTACCACACCTGTCTCACTACTACACCTGTCTCACTACTACACCTGTCTCACTACTACAGCTGTCTCACTACCACACCTGTCTCACTACCACACCTGTCTCACTACCACACCTGTCTCACTACCACACCTGTCTCACTACCACAGCTGTCTCACTACCACAGCTGTCTCACTACCACAGCTGTCTCACTACTACACCTGTCTCACTACCACACCTGTCTCACTACAGCTGTCTCACTACTACACCTGTCTCACTACCACAGCTGTCTCACTACCACACCTGTCTCACTACCACACCTGTCTCACTACTACACCTGTCTCACTACTACAGCTGTCTCACTACCACAGCTGTCTCACTACTACACCTGTCTCACTACTACAGCTGTCTCACTACCACACCTGTCTCACTACTACACCTGTCTCACTACCACACCTGTCTCACTACCACACCTGTCTCACTACTACACCTGTCTCACTACCACACCTGTCTCACTACTACACCTGTCTCACTACCACAGCTGTCTCACTACTACACCTGTCTCACTACTACAGCTGTCTCACTACCACACCTGTCTCACTACTACAGCTGTCTCACTACCACACCTGTCTCACTACTACAGCTGTCTCACTACCACACCTGTCTCACTACTACAGCTGTCTCACTACCGCACCTGTCTCACTACCACACCTGTCTCACTACTACAGCTGTCTCACTACCACACCTGTCTCACTACCACAGCTGTCTCACTACTACAGCTGTCTCACTACCACACCTGTCTCACTACCACAGCTGTCTCACTACTACACCTGTCTCACTACCACACCTGTCTCACTACTACACCTGTCTCACTACTACACCTGTCTCACTACCACACCTGTCTCACTACTACAGCTGTCTCACTACCACACCTGTCTCACTACCACAGCTGTCTCACTACTACAGCTGTCTCACTACCACACCTGTCTCACTACTACACCTGTCTCACTACTACACCTGTCTCACTACCACACCTGTCTCACTACTACAGCTGTCTCACTACCACACCTGTCTCACTACTACACCTGTCTCACTACCACAGCTGTCTCACTACTACAGCTGTCTCACTACCACACCTGTCTCACTACCACAGCTGTCTCACTACTACAGCTGTCTCACTACCACACCTGTCTCACTACTACACCTGTCTCACTACTACAGCTGTCTCACTACCACACCTGTCTCACTACCACACCTGTCTCACTACCACAGCTGTCTCACTACTACAGCTGTCTCACTACCACACCTGTCTCACTACTACACCTGTCTCACTACCACACCTGTCTCACTACACCTGTCTCACTACTACACCTGTCTCACTACCACACCTGTCTTACTACTGAACCTGTCTCACTACTGCACCTGTCTCACTACTACACCTGTCTCACTACCACAGCTGTCTCACTACTACATCTGTCTCACTACCACACCTGTCTCACTACTACACCTGTCTCACTACCACACCTGTCTCACTACACCTGTCTCACTACTACACCTGTCTCACTACACCTGTCTCACTACCGCACCTGTCTCACTACTACACCTGTCTCACTAGTACACCTGTCTCACTACTACACCTGTCTCACTACCACAGCTGTCTCACTACTACACCTGTCTCACTACTACACCTGTCTCACTACTACACCTGTCTCACTACTACACCTGTCTCACTACCACACCTGTCTCACTACACCTGTCTCACTACTACACCTGTCTCACTACACCTGTCTCACTACCACACCTGTCTCACTACTACACCTGTCTCACTACCACACCTGTCTCACTACTACACCTGTCTCACTACTACACCTGTCTCACTACCACACCTGTCTCACTACTACACCTGTCTCACTACTACACCTGTCTCACTACTACACCTGTCTCACTACCACACCTGTCTCACTACTACAGCTGTCTCACTACCACACCTGTCTCACTACTACACCTGTCTCACTACCACAGCTGTCTCACTACCACAGCTGTCTCACTACTACACCTGTCTCACTACCACACCTGTCTCACTACTACACCTGTCTCACTACCACAGCTGTCTCACTACCACAGCTGTCTCACTACCACACCTGTCTCACTACCACAGCTGTCTCACTACTACAGCTGTCTCACTACCACACCTGTCTCACTACTACACCTGTCTCACTACTACAGCTGTCTCACTACCACACCTGTCTCACTACCACACCTGTCTCACTACCACAGCTGTCTCACTACTACAGCTGTCTCACTACCACACCTGTCTCACTACTACACCTGTCTCACTACCACACCTGTCTCACTACACCTGTCTCACTACTACACCTGTCTCACTACCACACCTGTCTTACTACTGAACCTGTCTCACTACTGCACCTGTCTCACTACTACACCTGTCTCACTACCACAGCTGTCTCACTACCACACCTGTCTCACTACTACACCTGTCTCACTACTACACCTGTCTCACTACCACACCTGTCTTACTACTGAACCTCTCTCACTACTGCACCTGTCTCACTACTACACCTGTCTCACTACCACAGCTGTCTCACTACTACACCTGTCTCACTACCACACCTGTCTCACTACACCTGTCTCACTACTACACCTGTCTCACTACACCTGTCTCACTACCGCACCTGTCTCACTACTACACCTGTCTCACTAGTACACCTGTCTCACTACTACACCTGTCTCACTACCACAGCTGTCTCACTACTACACCTGTCTCACTACTACACCTGTCTCACTACTACACCTGTCTCACTACTACACCTGTCTCACTACACCTGTCTCACTACTACACCTGTCTCACTACACCTGTCTCACTACCACACCTGTCTCACTACTACACCTGTCTCACTACCACACCTGTCTCACTACTACACCTGTCTCACTACCACAGCTGTCTCACTACCACACCTGTCTCACTACCACACCTGTCTCACTACTACAGCTGTCTCACTACCACACCTGTCTCACTACCACACCTGTCTCACTACCACACCTGTCTCACTACCACACCTGTCTCACTACTACACCTGTCTCACTACTACACCTGTCTCACTACCACACCTGTCTCACTACAGCACCTGTCTTACTACCACACCTGTCTCACTACTACACCTGTCTCACTACCACAGCTGTCTCACTACTACAGCTGTCTCACTACCACACCTGTCTTACTACTGAACCTGTCTCACTACTCAACCTGTCTCACTACCGCACCTGTCTCACTACCACACCTGTCTCACTACTGCACCTGTCTCACTACTGTGTTTGTCTGTGTGCATAATTTGTTTCTGTGTCTTTCCGTGAATGCTGTCCCTGTGAATCTTGAATCTGTATGTGGCTGTGTGTGTCTATCTATATCGGTATCTCTCTGTGTCTCTATCTTTGCAGCTGTATCTGTCTGTCTCTATGTCTATATCTGGGTATCTGTATCTGGCTGTCTGCCTCTGTGCATCTGTATCTGTCTGTATCTATCTGTGTGTATATCTCTTTGCATCTGTGTCTGTCTGTCTCTACCTCTCTGCGTCTGTGTCTGTCTGTCTCTGTGCCTCTGTATCTGTCTGCGTCGATGTCTCTCTGTGCATCTGTATATGTCTGTCTCTGTGTCTATCTCTGTGCACGTGTGAATGTCTGTGTCTATCTCTGTAAATGTGTAACTGTCTGTGTCTATATCTGTGCATGTGTAACTGTCTGTGTCTGTCTATGTGCATATGTCACTGTCTCTGTGTCTGTCTCTGTGCACGTGTCACTGTCTGTGTCTATCTCTGTAAATGTGTAACTGTCTGTGTCTATATCTGTGCATGTGTAACTGTGTCTGTCTATGTGCATGTGTCACTGTCTCTGTGTCTGTCTCTGTGCACGTGTCACTGTCTGTGTCTATGTCTGTGCATGTGTCACTGTCTGTGTCTGTCTCTGTGCATCTGTCTGTGTCTGTCTCTGTGCATGTGTCACTGTCTGTGTCTATGTCTGTGCATGTGTCACTGTCTGTGTCTGTCTCTGTGCATGTGTCACTGTCTGTGTCTGTCTCTGTGCATGTGTCACTGTCTGTGTCTGTCTCTGTGCATGTGTAACTGTCTGTGTCTGTCTCTGTGCACGTGTAACTGTCTGTGTCTGTCTCTGTGCATGTGTAACTGTCTGTGTCTGTCTCTGTTCATGTGTCACTGTCTGTGTCTGTCTCTGTGCTTGTGTAACTGTCTGTGTCTGTCTCTGTGAATGTGTCACTGTCTGTGTCTGTCTCTGTGCATGTGTAACTGTCTGTGTCTGTCTCTGTTCATGTGTAACTGTCTGTCTCTGTCTCTGTGCATGTGTCACTGTCTGTGTCTGTCTCTGTGCTTGTGTAACTGTCTGTGTCTGTCTCTGTGAATGTGTCACTGTCTGTGTCTGCCTCTGTGTCTGTCTCTGTGCTTGTGTCACTGTCTGTGTCTGTCTCTGTGCATGTGTCACTGTCTGTGTCTGTCTCTGTGCATGTGTAACTGTCTGTGTCTGCCTCTGTGAATGTGTAACCGTCTGTGTCTGTCTCTGTGCATGTGTCACTGTCTGTGTCTATATCTGTGCATGTGTCACTGTCTGTGTCTGTCTCTGTGCATGTGTCACTGTGTCTGTCTCTGTGTCTGTTTCTGTGCATGTGTCACTGTCTGTGTCTGTCTCTGTGCATGTGTAACTGTCTGTCTCTGTGCATGTGTCACTGTCTGTGTCTGTCTCTGTGCATGTGTAACTGTCTGTGTCTGTCTCTGTTCATGTGTAACTGTCTGTCTCTGTCTCTGTGCATGTGTCACTGTCTCTGTGTCTGTTTCTGTGCATGTGTCACTGTGTCTGTCTCTGTGCATGTGTCACTGTCTGTGTCTGTCTCTGTGCATGTGTCACTGTCTGTGTCTGTCTCTGTGCATGTGTCACTGTCTGTGTCTGTCTCTGTGCATCTGTCTGTCAATCTCTCTGCATCTGTATCTGTCTGTCTCTACCTCTCTGCATCTGTCTGTGTCTATCTTTCTGCATCTGTATCTTTCTCTGTGCATCTGCATCTGTGTCTCTGCATCTGTATATGTCCTGTGCACATGCATCTGTGCCAATCTCTCGGTATCTGTATCTGTCTCTCTGTATCTGTGTCTGTATCTGTCTCTCTGTGTCTGTCTCTGTGCATCTGCATCTGTCTCTGTGCATCTGTGTCTGTCCTGTGCACAAGCATCTGTGCCAATCTCTCTGTATCTGTGTCTGTATCTGTGCATCTGCATCTGTGTCGGTCTCTCTGCGTCTGTCTCGGTGCATCTGCGTGTCCGTTTAAATACCCTTGCGTCTCCCCGCGTCCGAGCGTCCGTCCCCGTTGTCTCTCGCCTCTCTGTCCAGGGTCCGGCCGAGAGATCCCTCGAGCCGACGGAGGTTTCAGGACCCGAGGCCTCTCACCGGCACCTGCAGCCTCGCCTCCAGTCAAGGTGTCGAGCCAGGGAATGGAGTCGAACAGGTCACGTCCACCTTCCAGCCAGGTGGGAGGCGCGCCTCGACTGAAGGTTTCCCGTTAAGCTCCTGTCGTGTAAGGGATTGACGCAGACCTTAACGCTACACCCGTGTCCAGAGTCTAACCCTAACGCGGCCAGGTGAGTGGCGCGGGTTGATTGAAGGTTTCTGGTTAAGCGCTGCAGTGTAAGGCATGACACCGACTTTACCTCTACACCCGTGTCCAGAGTCTAATCCTAACGTGGTCAGGTGAGTGGCACGGGTTGATTGAAGGTTTCTGCACGAGCTCCTGTCGTGTAAGGGGTTGACGCAGACCTTAACGCTACACCCGTGTCCAGAGTCTAACCCTAACACGGCCAGGTGAGTGGCGCGGGCTGATTGAAGGTTTCCGGATGAACGCTGTCATGTAAGGGATGGTCGGGCGTGGTGCTGGCCACCCACAGGGCTGGCCTTCAGGGGTGCTACTCGCTAACAGCACTTGCCCCAACAGTCTGCTAAGGCTATACGGGGGAGCGTTGTCTTTGTATTGCTTTGTAAGTATGTGAGTGTCTCTGTGTCTGTGAGTACCTCTGTGTGTGTCTCTCTGTGTCTCTATGTATGCGAGTGTCTCTCTGTGTTTGTGAGTACGTCTGTGTCTGTCTGTGTCTGTATGTATGCGAGTGTCTGTGAATACCTCTGTGTGTGTCTCTCTGTGTCTGTGAGTATCTCTGTGTGTGTCTCTCTGTGTCTGTATGTATGCGAGTGTCTGTGAGTACCTGTGTGTGTGTCTCTCTGTGTCTGTATGTATGCGAGTGTCTCTGTGTGTGTGTCTATCTGTGTCTGTCTGTGAGTATTTCTCTATGTGTGTCTCTCTGTGTCTGTATGTATGCGAGTGTCTCTCTGTGTGTGTCTATCTGTGTCTGTCTGTGAGTATTTCTCTGTGTGTCTCTCTGTGTCTGTATGTATGCGAGTTTCTCTCTGTGTGTGTCTATCTGTGTCTGTCTGTGAGTATTTCTCTGTGTGTGTCTCTCTGTGTCTGTATGTATGCGAGTGTCTCTCTGTGTGTGTCTATCTGTGTCTGTCTGTGAGTATTTCTCTGTGTGTGTCTCTCTGTGTCTGTATGTATGCGAGTGCCTCTCTGTGTGTGTCTATCTGTGTCTGTCTGTGAGTATTTCTCTGTGTGTGTCTCTCTGTGTCTGTATGTATGCGAGTGTCTGTGAGTACCTCTGTGTGTGTCTCTCTGTATCTGTATGTATGCGAGTGTCTCTCTGTGTGTGTCTATCTGTATCTGTCTGTGAGTATTTCTCTGTGTGTGTCTCTATGTGTCTGTGTCTATGCGAGTGGCTCTGTGTTTGTGAAGGCTACATGGGGGACCTTTGTTTGTGTGTGTGCCTGTGTGTGTGCCTGTGTGTGTGTCTGTGTGTGTGTGTGCCTGTGTGTGCGTGTCTGTGTAACAACTACAGGGGCATCTCACTCCTCAGTGTGCCGGGAAAGGTCCTGGCAAGGATTATTCAGCATCGCCTCGCCAGACACGCTGAGGAGAGGCTTGAGGAGCCCCAATGCGGTTTCAGGAAAGGGCGGTCCTGCACAGATGCCATATTTTCTGTCCGTCTGCTACAGCAGAGGTGTAGGGAATTCCAGCAAGATCTACATCTCTGCTTTATTGACCTGGTCAAGGCCTATGATATCATCAGTAGGCCTGGGCTCTGGGTTGTACTTCGTGCTTTTGGAGTACCTGACCCTCTGCTCACGATCATTAAGGACCTTCATGATGGTGAGCGGGCCCGGGTAAAACTACGTGGCCGGGAGTCCGAGCCTTTCCCTGTACACCTTGGGGTGCGACAGGGATGTCCTCTGGCTCCCACATTATTTAACATCTATTTCGACTACGTAGTTCGTGAAGCCTTCAATAGCTGTACCGGGGGAATCTTCATATGGTACAGATATAATGGGAGGCTGATCGATGCCTGGGTGCGGTCAAGGGATGGCTCCATATTGCTCAACCACGTTATGTATGCTGATGATTTGGTAATAGCTGCTCATTCAGAGGAGAAGTTGGAGACGCTGCTGCTGAGACTGGAGCGTGCCACTAAGAGATGGGGCCTTACCATCAGCCCCACCAAATCTAAGCACCTGCCTGGGTATTTTGTACCATCGGACACTCCACCCCCACAACTCTCAATCGGTGATGGGGCAGTTGTGGAGAGTGGAGAGTTTCCCATACCTGGGAAGTGTGCTTATGACCGGCTCCAGTTTAACAGCAGAGGTCTCACTCCGAATCAGTCGAGCGGCAATATCTTTTCATCGGTTGCGTAACGCTGTGTGGAAGATACCTGGTCTGTCGCTCCGCACTAAGCTTCAGGTCTTCTCGGCCACGGTCATTCCCTACCTTCTCTACGCTTGCGAAACGTGGACCCCCCTAATGGAACATCTTCGCCGGTTAGAAACATTTAGGCTGGCCTGCCTACGATCCATCCTGGGTTTAACCAGACTGGATTGTGTGAGGAGCTCAAAAATCCTTGAAAGATCTGGGCAAGGTCCCATCGGTGAGCTCCTCCGGCGGGCAAGGCTGCGATGGCTGGGTCATGTAGCCCGCATGCCCAGCCACCGCATGCCGAAACAGCTTTTGTTCGGCCGGATCGAGGGGGCTAAGTGGGCGCAGCACGGGCTAGAGAAGAGATGGAGTGATCTGGTACAGGAGGACGTGGAGCTGAGTGGACTTGCCGATGACTGGTACCAGCGGTGTCAAGATCGGCCTAAGGAGGAGGCTCGTGAAGGACGCTACTGGGCAGTTGGAGGCAGTCGCCCTCCAGCAACAACGGAGGGCGGAGGAGCGACGCTCACAACAACGAGCGGAGCGCTGGGTGGCTAAAGCACAGCAGGTTGGCACAGTAGGGGGCACAGGTGGTGCATCAGCCAGTCATCTCAGTCATCTCAGTCAGTCGACCCGTGGCACCTGGGTCTGCCCCGTGACCTCCTGCCAGCGGGCGTTCGACACTCCACGTGGCCTCAAGGTGCACATGTCCTGGCACAAGCGTCGTGGTGACGTCACCGCCACTTAGTGGCGAATGGCGGTTGTTGTTGTGTGTGAGTGTGTGGGGAGCGGTAGTGCAGTGGTTAGTGCTACGCTGCGCTACGAACCCGGCGACCACGAGTTCGATTCCCGCTCACGGCCAACAACACCACCGGTGACGATTATCTGAAGCGGTCCCGCGCCTCCCCTAGGTCGACTCAGCATCAAATGAGTACCTGGTGCGGTGGTGTAGTTAAACATCACAACTGGGGGAGACAAAGGCGGCCGGGCGAGCGTGGTGGTGCTGGCCACCCCCGGCTTTCGTAGGTGCTGCTGCTCGCGAACATTCTGTCACGGTCTTCATTTGAAGCTTTCGTGACTGCAGGAATCCATGGTTCTGTCGGTGAAGTCACGTGGGTAGAAAATAATAACAATAGATCACGACGATTCGATCGCCTGCCACTTGAATAAAGATTGCTTGTGTGGCGATCGAAACGTGGTGATCTATGAGTCTGTCACAGGCTACAACGGTGGGGTGGGGGGGGGATATTTGGGGCCGTCCATAAATGACGTCACGCACCTAGGAGGGGGAGGGGGGGGCGGTCAGCCATTTGTGACGATGTGTGAATAGGGGGGAGGGGGGGTTTGAGAAATGTGACGTCACCTCAAAATGCGCAACTTTAAATGAATTATAGAATTGTTATAACAACACTAATTGTTATAACAACACTCCTACAACATCAGAGTGCAGCGCCGCATTAAATACGCACTACAATGACAATAGTCAAAATGGAAATATGCTTTTGTGGGGGGGGGGGGGGGGGGGCAGAGCTTTGTGACGTCATATTTGACGGGGAGGTCTGACTTTTTGTGACACCGCGTGACGAGGAGGAGGGGGGGATGTGGAAATGTGACGTCACATCAAAATGCGCAACTTTAAATAAACATAGACAACACGTACTACTTAATTAAATAGACTTTTTAATAAATGTTTTCTCCTACAACATCAGAGTGCAGCGCCACATTAAATACGCACTACAATGACAATAGTTTGAAGCGATTTGAAGCATGTTTTATTTTCAAAATGGAAATATGGTTTTGGAGGGGGGGTGGGCAGAGCTTTGTGACGTCATCATTGAGGGGGTGGGGGGGGGGGTCTGACTTTTTGTGACGCCGCGTGACGAGGAGGAGGGGGGGGAGAGGGGGGCGGGGTCAAAAATCGTCCAAAATCGCGTGACGTCATTTATGGACTGCCCCTTTGTCGTTGTGGCCGCGTGTGTGCAAGTTGGTGGACGTGCACGTGTGGCTGCTGCCGCAGCCGCTGTGGAAGGAGGAGACGAACACGGCCCTGGCGCAGGACACCTCGCGGGCCGTGTCCGTGGGATTCGTGCGGTAACAGCGGAGGATGAGGAGGAGGAGGATGAGGAGGAGGATGAGGAGGAGGATGAGGAGGCGCGCGGGTGGTCGTGCCCACCGAGCTGTGTTCAATACCACGCACACTCGACTCCGCACACACCCACCCACCCCGGACTCTAAAAGCCATAACACCAATGAGAAACAAAACACTATTAACCCCAATCAGAAACAAAACACTATTAACCCTGATCAGAAACAAAACACTATTAACCCTGATCAGAAACAAAACACTATTAACCCCAATCAGAAACAAAACACTATTAACCCGAATCAGAAACAAAACACTATTAACCCCAATCAGAAACAAAACACTATTAACCCTGATCAGAAACAAAACACTATTAACCCTGATCAGAAACAAAACACTATTAACCCTGATCAGAAACAAAACACTATTAACCCCAATCACAAACAAAACACTATTAACCCTGATCAGAAACAAAACACTATTAACCCTGATCAGAAACAAAACACTATTAACCCCAATCACAAACAAAACACTATTAACCCTGATCAGAAACAAAACACTATTAACCCTGATCAGAAACAAAACACTATTAACCCTGATCAGAAACAAAACACTACTAACCCCAATCAGAAACAAAACACTATTAACCCTGATCAGAAACAAAACACTATTAACCCTGATCAGAAACAAAACACTATTAACCCTGATCAGAAACAAAACACTATTAACCCTGATCAGAAACAAAACACTATTAACCCTGATCAGAAACAAAACACTATTAACCCCAATCAGAAACAAAACATTATTAACCCCAATCAGAAACAAAACACTATTAACCCCAATCAGAAACAAAACACTATTAACCCTGATCAGAAACAAAACACTATGAACCCTGATCATAATCATAAACAAAACACTATTAACCCCAATCAGAAACAAAACACTATTAACCCTGATCAGAAACAAAACACTACTAACCCCAATCAGAAACAAAACACTATTAACCCTGATCAGAAACAAAACACTATTAACCCTGATCAGAAACAAAACACTATTAACCCCAATCAGAAACAAAACACTATTAACCCCAATCAGAAACAAAACACTATTAACCCCAATCAGAAACAAAACACTATTAACCCTGATCAGAAACAAAACACTATTAACACCAATCAGAAACAAAACACTATTAACCCTGATCAGAAACAAAACACTATTAACCCCAATCAGAAACAAAACACTATTAACACCAATCAGAAACAAAACACTATTAACACCAATCAGAAACAAAACACTATTAACCCTGATCAGAAACAAAACACTATTAACCCCAATCAGAAACAATACACTATTAACCCTGATCAGAAACAAAACATTATTAACCCCAATCAGAAACAAAACACTATTAACCCCAATCAGAAACAAAACACTATTAACCCTGATCAGAAACAAAACACTATTAACCCCAATCACAAACAAAACACTATTAACCCCAATCAGAAACAAAACATTAACCCCAATCAGAAACAACACACTATTAACCTCAATCAGAAACAAAACACTATTAACCCTGATCAGAAACAAAACACTATTAACCCTGATCAGAAACAAAACACTATTAACCCTGATCAGAAACAAAACACTATTAACCCCAATCAGAAACAAAACACTATTAACCCTGATCAGAAACAAAACATTATTAACCCCAATCAGAAACAAAACACTATTAACCCTGATCAGACACAAAACACTATTAACCCTGATCAGAAACAAAACACTATTAACCCCAATCAGAAACAAAACACTATTAACACCAATCAGAAACAAAACACTATTAACACCAATCAGAAACAAAACACTATTAACCCTGATCAGAAACAAAACACTATTAACCCCAATCAGAAACAATACACTATTAACCCTGATCAGAAACAAAACATTATTAACCCCAATCAGAAACAAAACACTATTAACCCCAATCAGAAACAAAACACTATTAACCCTGATCAGAAACAAAACACTATTAACCCCAATCACAAACAAAACACTATTAACCCCAATCAGAAACAAAACATTAACCCCAATCAGAAACAACACACTATTAACCTCAATCAGAAACAAAACACTATTAACCCTGATCAGAAACAAAACACTATTAACCCTGATCAGAAACAAAACACTATTAACCCTGATCAGAAACAAAACACTATTAACCCCAATCAGAAACAAAACACTATTAACCCTGATCAGAAACAAAACATTATTCACCCCAATCAGAAACAAAACACTATTAACCCTGATCAGACACAAAACACTATTAACCCTGATCAGAAACAAAACACTATTAACCCTGATCAGAAACAAAACACTATTAACCCCAATCAGAAACAAAACACTATTAACCCCAATCAGAAACAAAACACTATTAACCCCAATCAGAAATAAAACACTATTAACCCCAATCAGAAACAAAACACTATTAACCCTGATCAGAAACAAAACACTATTAACCCTGATCAGAAACAAAACACTATTAACCCCAATCAGAAACAAAACACTATTAACCCCAATCAGAAACAATACACCATTAACCCCAATCAGAAATAAAACACTATTAACCCCAATCAGAAACAAAACACTATTAACCCTGATCAGACACAAAACACTATTAACCCTGATCAGAAACAAAACACTATTAACCCCAATCAGAAACAAAACACTATTAACCCCAATCAGAAACAAAACACTATTAACCTCAATCAGAAATAAAACACTATTAACCCCAATCAGAAACAAAACACTATTAACCCCAATCAGAAACAAAACACTATTAACCCTGATCAGAAACAAAACACCATCACGTTCATCGTTCAAACAATAACCCTAAACAGCCAGCCTTCATAGCGGGCTGCTCGCTGACAGCACTTGCCCCAACAGCCCGTTGAGGCTTTCCGGGGTATCTTTGTCTGTGTGTGTCCAGGGTGGGGAGCGGTGGTGCAGTGGTTAGCGCTACGCTGCGCTACGAGCCCAGCGCACCGGGTTCGATTCCCGCTGACGGCCAACACCGACACCCGGTGACGATTATCTGAACCGGTCCTGGGCCTCCCCCTAGCTCGGCTCGGCCTCAAACGAGTTCCCGGTGCGACGCGTAAACATCGCCACTGGGGGGGAGACAAAGGCGGCCGGGAGGGCGTGGTGGTGCTGGCCACCCACCCCCCTCGTCTGCCACAGTGCCGGTGTCTTCACAGGTGCCACTCGCTAACAGCACTAAGGGGGCCATCCATAAATGACGTCACGCGATTTGGACGATTTTGACCCCACCCCCCTTCGTCACACGGCGTCACAAAAAGTCAGACTCCACCCCTCAAATATGACGTCACAAAGCTCTGCCCCCCCCCCCCCCCCCCCCCCAAAAATATATAAAACGTGCTTCAAATCGCTTTAAACTATTGTCGTTGTAGTGCGTATTTAATGTGGCGCTGCACTCTGATGTTGTAGGAGACAACATTTATCAAAAAGTCTATTTAATAAAGTAGAACGTGTTGGCTATATTTATTTAAAGTTGCGCATTTTTACGTGACGTCACATTTCTAAACCCCCCCCCCCGCCCCCCCTCGCTCGTCACACATCGTCACAAATGTCTGACCCCACCTCCGCCCTCCCCCCTCCCCGAAGGCGCGTGACGTCATTATGGAGACAGCCCCTTGCCCCTACAGCCCGTTGAAGGCTAAACGGGGGATCTTTGTCTTTGTGTGGCAGGACTCTGCCGGACTGGCCGCTGCTCTCGGTTCGCAGGCAGGTGGAGCGCGACTTGGACCGGGACGTGCCTCAACAATTCCTCTTCCTCAAGGGCATGGGGCCGCACCTCGTTCACGTGCGTCCAAGCTGCGTTGGGGCCGTCCGCAAATGACGTCACGCACCTGGGGGGGGGGGGGGGGTCAGACATTAGTGACGATGTGTGACAAGGGAGGGGGGCGGGGTTTGAGAAATGTGTCACGTAAAAATGGGCAAACTTTAAATAAATGTAGACAACACGTTCTACTTAATTACATAGACTTTTTTTTTAAATAAATGTTGCCTCCTTACAACATCAGAGTGCGGCGCCACATTAAATACGCACTGCAATGGCAATAGTTTAAAGCGATTTGAAGCATGTTTTATTTTCAAAATGGAAATATGGTTTTGGGGGGGGGGGGGCAGAGCTTTGTGACGTCATATTTGAGGGGGGGGAGGTCTGATTTTTTGTGACGCCGTGTGACGAAGGGGGGGGGGGGGTCAAAAAACATCAAAAATCGCGTCAGGTCATTTATGGACGGCCCCTTTACTGTGGAGGAGGCTCGCGAAGGACTCCGCTGCTACTGTGGCAATTGGAGGCAGTCGCCCACCTCCGGCAACGGCAACAACAGGCGGAGGGCAGGGAGGTAACAATGCCGGGAGGATAAAAGCGCAGTGAGTAGGGGGGGGTCGGGGGTGGGACAGGGTGGGGTGCATCGGCCGGTCATCGAGGTTGGTCGACTCCACGGCACCACCTGGGTCTGTCCCGTGACCATCCCGCTAGCGGGCGTTCGACGCTTCAGGTGGCCTTAACGTGCACCTGGCCTGGCACGTGCGCCGTGCTGAGGTCACAGCCACTCAGTGGCGAATGGCGGTTGTTGTTGTTGTTGCTGTTGTTGTGGGGAGCGGTAGTGTAACCCGGCGAACCGAGTTCAATTCGCCCGCTCACGGCCACCAACAACCACCATGGCAATTTATCTGAACCGGCCGTGGGTCCTCCCCTAGGCCGACTCGGCCTCAAATGAGTACCTGGTGTGCTGTGTAAACGTCGCCTCTGGGGAGACAAAGGCGGCTGGGCGTGGTGCTGGCCACCCGCCCCTCAAATTAGTCCGTGGTGTGTGCCGTCGTGCCGGCTTCCATAGGGTGATCGCTTACAGCACTTGCTCCTACAGTCTGTTAAGGGCTACACGGGGGATCTTTGTCTATAGTGGGGAGCGGTGGTGCGTAAGTTAGCGCGCGCGGCCCTCGAAACCTCGGGGGCCCCCGAGTTCGATTTCCCCCACTCACGACGACCAACAGTGGCAACAAAACCCCAAAAAACATCCAACGTGTTATATATTCTTAGCTCTTTCGGTAAAGTCACGTTGAAGGGAATCAATAAAATAATAAAATATATATAAACAATAAAACTTCTCACGACGTTTCGACCATAACACAAACGGTCGTCATCAGGTGTGAATCAAAATTTAACATCCACCGTGTTCGTGAGGGCCTCACCGCTAGGGTCGACTCAGCGAACAAATGAGCACACGCAGCGCGAACGGGGAAAGTCCACCCGAAGTTTTCGCCCCCGCCTCGAAGTTTCGCTCGCGTGCTCCACCTCCTCCAGTCGCGCACGGGGACGCTGGCCGATGTCCATGAACGCTTTCGAACGTTCGTCTTGTTTTGTTTACTGGGCAAGGTGCCCCCGCTGAACTGGCGCGGTCGCTGCAGCCAGGGCCGCCAGGGTTCCCGACTAATGGCGAGCGTGATTCCTCTGCCGCAGGTGAATGTGAAACAAGAGCAACACGTGAAGGTGAAATCCATCTTTTATTCCCTGGTGAGTGTGGAGGCACCCCCTCCCCCCACCCCCACCCCCATGTTCAAAGTGGCACACTCCACGACCATGGGGAGAGTGAGAGAGAGAGAGAGACGCCGCTAACTTCCAACGCGAAGGGAAGATTCGCATTGCCGTTAATGGAGAGTTCCGCATGGGCGTCAAGTTCCGGGGTGAGGGAGATTGATTTTTGTTCTTTCCCCCCCACCGCCCCCGCCTGCCGTAAATTATTTCGGAAGGTCCCGGACGAGTCCCCGCCGCGGTCCGGACGTCATCTTCATCCTCCCCGGCTCTGCCCTGCGGTCACCGAGCCGCCCGCTCTCTCTCCCGTGGGGCAGCCGCCAGACGGGGCGGTGGGACGCGTCGACGCCCCCGAGCCGGGAGCCGGGCAACCTCGGCGGCGGCAGCGCCGGTGGCGGCGCCGGAGCCGCCGTCCTGAACAATCGTACGCCTCCTCCTCCTCCTCCCCCCCTAATGCCGCCATCGCCAACAATGCCGCCGCCGCCGCCGCTTCTGACCCCGAGGTTGGAGCTCCCGGCGCCGTCCCGCCACCAGGAGGCTGCCCGAGGGGGCGGCGAGACGGTCGCCGGGAACGGGGCCGCCGGAAGAGCGGCCGCCGGGCAGCGGGGGGGCGGCGGCGACTTGGCCGCCGCCAGGGTTCCCACGACGCCGGGAACGAGCGCGACGCTGGACTCGGGGATCGGCGGCCAGGCGTTGTCGGTGTCGTTGCGGTCGGGTGACGCACAGACGTACGTAAACTCGCGGGGCGATCCTAGTTTCCGAAGTCCTGTCGTGCCCTTTGTTGGCTAGGAGATGTTAACTACCTCGCTTGGTATGCAGGAGGTCGGCGGTTTGATTCCCACCCTGACGCCATGCTGTATATGTGAAGTTTGTGTGTCTCTCATCACCATCATCACGGTGGCTAGGAGATGTTAACTACCTCGCCTGGTATGCAGGAGGTCGTGGGTTCGATCGCGACCCTTGATGCCTGCTGCTGTATATTTGGAGTTTGTGTGTCTCTCATCATCATCATCACGGTGGCTAGGAGATGTTAACTACCTCGCCTGGTATGCAGGAGGTCGTGGGTTCGATCCCGACCCTTGATGCCTGCTGCTGTATATTTGGAGTTTGTGTGTCTCTCATCATCATCATCATGGTGGCTAGGAGATGTTAACTACCTCGCTTGGTATGCAGGTCGGCGGTTTGATCCCCACCCTGACGATGCCTGCTGCTGTATATTTGGAGTTAGTGGTGTCTCCCTCAAGCGTTTCAGAGTATTTGGCTACCGTTATAAATTTCCACGGGACGATGATAAACCGCCGAGTTGAGCGATCGTTTGTGAAAGCCAGGTCGCTTGTGAAAAAGAGCTACATAGCTCGGTGGGGCCTTACCTGATATATATAAAAGTTTAGTTCTAGAAATGGTGTTGCCTCCGGCTCACCGTGCGTCCTGTTAGAGCTTCCCAGAAAATCCGGTGGCTTTAGCTGAGCCGCGACGTCGGCCGTGAGCAGGTCCGGCAAGCGGGCGGTGGACGACGCCGTGACCTTTGCCCCAGCCGCTGCCGCCCCTGCCATCCCCGCCGCCGTTGCCGGCCATCGCGTTCGGGGAAGGACGAGCAGCGATGAGGTGAGGCTGCCTTCATCGTCGCGGCAACGGTAAAGCTTTCCGCATGCGCTTTGCGTGAGCGTCCGTCTGTGTCAGGCGGGGTGGAGGTACAGGGACTACCCTCTACTTACGAACGAGTTAAGTTCCAGAGGTGTCTGTTTGTAAGTCGATTTGATTGTCAGTACAAACTTTACTCCTGTAGATTCCAAACACGTTGTACGCATTGTACACGAAACACGGAGAATGCCTTTAAAAGTTGTATGATCTCCTGCAGATGCCACTGGTTCTTGACGTTCTTCAGATGTAAATGCCACTGGTTCATCACGTTCTGTAGATGTAGATGCCACTGGTTCTTCACGTTCTGCAGATGTAGATGCCACTGGTTCTTCACGTTCTGCAGATGTAGATGCCACTGGTTATTCACGTTCTGCAGATGTAGATGCCACTGGTTCTTCGCGTTCTGTAGATGTAGATGCCACTGGTTCTTCACGTTCTGCAGATGAAAATGCCACTGGTTATTCACGTTCTGCAGATGTAGATGCCACTGGTTCTTCACGTTCTGCAGATGTAGATGCCACTGGTTCTTCACGTTCTGCAGATGTAGATGCCACTGGTTCTTCACGTTCTGCAGATGTAGATGCCACTGGTTCTTCACGTTCTGCAGATGTAGATGCCACTGGTTCTTCACGTTCTGCAGATGAAGATGCCACTGGTTCTTCACGTTCTGCAGATGTAGATGCCACTGGTTCTTCGCGTTCTGCAGATGTAGATGCCACTGGTTCTTCACGTTCTGCAGATGAAGATGCCACTGGTTCTTCACGTTCTGCAGATGTAGATGCCACTGGTTCTTCACGTTCTGCAGATGTAGATGCCACTGGTTCTTCACGTCCTGCAGATGTAGATGCCACTGGTTCTTCACGTTCTGCAGATGAAGATGCCACTGGTTCTTCACGTTCTGCAGATGTAGATGCCACTGGTTCTTCACGTTCTGCAGATGTAGATGCCACTGGTTCTTCACGTTCTGCAGATGTAGATGCCACTGGTTCTTCACGTTCTGCAGATGTAGATGCCACTGGTTCTTCACGTTCTGCAGATGTAGATGCCACTGGTTCTTTACGTTCTGCAGATGTAGATGTCACTGGTTCTTCACGTTCCGCAGATGTAGATGCCACCGCCGCCATCTATTGCGTGGCGGTTGAACTCACGACCCTCCGTCCGAACGGGCAACTGGACATACGGACCAGGTTTGCTCGTATCTCTGAAAGTTCGAAAGTCGAATGTTTGTAAGTAGAGGGGCTTCATGTATATACAGTATATGTTCCGACCGTACAGTGTATAACGACGCCACGAATACGAAGGAGACATCGCAGCGGTGCAACACTGCCGCCGCTCCTGACGCGGTTGTCTGGCTTGACCGCCCGAATGTGATGTGGTAGTTTGTTGGCTCTGCATCGACAATGAGGACCGTCGTAAATCGGAGACCGCCCGTATTCCACTGCTCTGACTCAGATTCGCCGATGATATTTATTGGTCTCCTACTACGCTGTGATTCCAAAGATGGGACTGTGTTTTTCCGTGGGAGGAGACGGAGCTTTTAGCAGCCAGGCTTCGCGATTGTGCAGTTCCCTTCCTCCTCGGGACCAATCGGGGAATCTGAGTCTGGTTAACAGTTTATTTTTTAAATCGTCGCGTCTTAAAATTCACCTGGATATTTTCTTTCGCACACGACGAGCCTTTCTACGTAAGTTCAAGCAGCTGTGAGGGAAAGCGGTTTTTGAGGCCTTGATGCGCGCGCAAATCGCGCTTCAGAAAACCGAGTTCGTCATTTTAATCACAATAATTATTATAGATATTCGAATATCGTTCGCGGGCCGCTTTCTCAAAAGTGTCGCCGACGCGGAGCTTCGAAATCCCCCCGGTGTGTTGGAGAGTAAAACCCACGACAACATTCACAACAACAACAACGATGAGCAGCAGCATCATCAGGCGGAGAGCCAGAGAGTTGCGGGCAAATCCTCCTCCTGTTTTCGGTCTTGAATAGACGGGGGGTGGATGCATGTGATGTCGCCACTTGTGAGCCAAGTGAGACAAAGGCGGCCGGGCGTGGTGCTGGCCACCCACCCCCCTCGAGTGCCGTTCCGGTCTTCATAGGCGCTGCTCGCTAACAGCACTTGCACCCACAGCCCGTACAGGCTATACGGTGTGATCTTCGCTTGGCCTGTGTCTCTATTTGTGTACGTGTAGTCTTCACAGCTGACAAGCGACTCGCCCAGAATGCACCCAGATGTTGTCAGTTCTCGGAAGCTAAGCAATAATTTGAAACTAAACCATATCTTAAAACTATTTTTTTATTTCACCAGGTAAGGCCCCACTGAGCTGCATAGCCCTTTGACAGAAGCGACCTGGCTATCACGAATGACAGGTGAACGAAGTGGCCTATCGTGTGGAAATTTACAGCAGTAGCCAAATACTTGATTCTAAATGTGGAGGCAAAAGACAAGACGGAGGACCCAAAGCAGAATCCAGGCGACCACGCGGAGAGAGACACACGCTCCAAATACGCACCAGGCATCAGGGTCAGGATCAAATCCACGACTTCCTGCACACCTGGCGAGGCGGTTAACATCCGCGGATGGTGCCACGCATGACACGGAGCAGTGTTGTTTCACAGATTTTTGCAGAGGGCGGCCACTTTCGCCGACGAGACTTCAACGGTGTGCGGGCCGCCGCACATTTCAAACCACTTGGGGTTTGACTGACAGCACAATTGTGCTCGGGGGGGGGGGGGTGGGGGCGTATTGGTCGGGGCGGGCTGCACATCAGTGGGCCCGCACGGAAGGCCACCAGGGGTTCGCCAGCGGCTCCCCGCGGGCCTTGCGACGAAGGACACCGGCGCGCGAGTGCCACGCGGCGCCGCGCGGCGTCGCGCTCTCGGATGCGCCCCTGCGGCCGTCGGAAACGCGCTCTTCCTTCCGTTACCGAACTGGGCGTCGGTGGAAAAAGACGACCGAATGGAAGATTCCGATTCCGATAGTAGGAAGCCACCGGAGCCGCGCCACTTTTAAATCATCGATATTGTACACCAATTTCTTTAGAGCTGCTTGTCGTCGCGTTCGGTTTGTTGTCCTTCCCCCGCCGCTCCTCCGACTGGCGCGGTTGGCCGCGTGCCGCGCGAAAAGAAGTTCGTGTTGGTCGCGGTGGGCCGCACGTCAGTGGGACGTCACCGAAGGCCATGAGGGGCCGCCAGCGGTGGGCCGCAGGGGGCAGCAATTGCAAAAAATGCCTCGCGTTGTCCGTGGCACGCAGGGCTCGGACGATGATGACGTCACCTCGTCCGACAGCATGGTGCTGCCACCGCCCCCCGCGCTGAGAATCGCCATCGCAGCTCCCGCCGCCGCCGCTGCCGCCGCCGGACCGCCATCGTCCGTGACCCCGCGGCGACCCGAGGTCACCGCCCCGGCAGGGACGCGGGCGAAGGTCGTGACCCCTGTGTCACTGAGGAGAGCGAACGGCGGCGGCGGCGGCGGTGGCGGTGGTGGCGGAGGCGAGCAATCGGCTCCGGATGACGGTTTCCCTGTCGCGCCTCCTCCACCTCCTCCTCCTGCTGCGTTTGTGGCGGGCGGCGGGCGAGACGCTGGGGAGAACGGAGGGAAGGGCGCGGGGGGGTACAGCAACAAGGACGGCGGGAAGGTCGGAGGGGCTCAAGGAGGGGGCGGCCGTCATGCGGATTTTACCCACGGGGCCGAGCGGCGGGGCCTTCCCGGCGAGCGCGGAGCCGCGGGAGAGGAGACCGACAACGAGGGTGAGTTTCAGAATGTGGATTTGTAAAAATAAAATGAAAATAATAATCTGGCCTTCCCCCCCCCCCCCACAAACCCCCTTCACCAGCCTTCACCGACCAACGTGGAGAAGTAATGCTTTTTACAATCCCCCCGCGATCGATGGTGGCATGTGGAGGAGGCCTCCGTCCAGCGGTAGATCGACACCTGGGTCCGGTGGCACCAACGGAACGCAGCTCTCACGTATTTCTGTGCGTTAAAACAAATGCTCACAGTTGAACCTCGTGGCGGGACCCCCCCGGGGTCCCACAGAAGTCCCCCCCGGCTCTCGCATGAACTGTGCTGCGACGTCGAAATTGTACGTCTGTTGAAGGCGAACGACACGGCAATCTTATTCTTAGCTCTTTCGGTAAAGTCACGTTGAAGGGAAACAATAAAACAATAACATATATTTTATTATTTTATTGTTTCCCTTCAACGTGACTTTACCGAAAGAGCTAAGAATATGAATTACTGCAGTCACGAAAGCTTCAAATCAAAATTTGACACGGAAATCTATTTATCTCGACGAGCTCGGCACGATGTGCTAATCAAAGTTTCAAAGTTTTGTTTATGCCTTCTGCGCATTCGTCCTCGCTGCTGCTGTTTGGACGGCACGACAACAGAATGATCCGCGCCAGGTGGGTCGCGGTGTTTGCGTGCGCGGTGGGACGGAGTCACCAAAATAATTAATTGATTGCGGCTTTTGTTGTTGTTTTTTTTAAACTTCCGTTTATTCGGGACCCCGGGGTCCCGCCATAGGGCTCAATTCGCCCGTGGCTTCGGGCGAATTGATGAACAGGTGATTTCATTAACGGGAGAATTAATGAATGGATGAATTCATGGACAAGTGAATTAACGAACAGGTGACGATTGTCTGTACCGGTCCTGGTAGCGGTGCCGAGATGTTGACTACCTCGCCTGGTACACAGGAGGTCGGTGGGTTCTATCCCAACCCTGACGCCTGCTGCTGCTGTATATTTGAAGTTTGCTTTCTGGCTCTTTTTGTGGTCATGGGGATTTTTCTGCAGGTCCTCCCGTTTTTCCCCTCCACATTTATAATCGACGTGCGTTTAGAGTATTTGGCCGCTATACATTTCCACATCGCGATAATAAGCCACCTCTCATTGGCGCTATCATTTGTGATAACCAGGTCGTTTCTGAAAAAGAGCTACGGTAAAATAAAAATAAATATTTTAGTTTCATCTTATCCTCCCACGCCCACCCCCTCGTGCGCCGTGGCCGGCCTTCGTAAGGTGCTGCTCGCTAACGGCACTTGCCCCGGCAACCTTTCAAGGCTACACGGGGGAAAACCTTTGCCTTTGTTATCTTCACGTGTCGACACAGCCTCAAACGAGCACGCGGTGCGAGTGCCCACCCCGGCCTTCGTAGGTGCTGCTGCCGCTCGCTAACTTTGCCCCCGACAACCTGCTGAGCTCCACGCGGGGGTGGAAGGAAACCCCTTCTGTCCGTCTTCTCCGCAGGCCGCGTGCGCGAGCCCGCGGCGACGGAGCCGGCGGCGGCGGCGGCGACGGAGCTGGCGGAGCTGCAGTGCGAGCGCAGGGAGATGGAGCGCCACCGCAGGGAGCTCGTGGCGCGCATCAAGGAGACCCGCGCCGCCATGCACGCGCGACGCGCCGAAGGCACGCGGCGCAAGGACGCGCGTGCCCCCAAACACTTCTGAGCTACATTATGAGACCTCCTTTGCCAGTAACAGGATATAGGAATAGCGTCTTCTGGTCCAACACCAATGGAGACTAAGGGCTCTAAGAAAAGCCGTCTCGGGTGTGGGCCAATCAAATTCAAGGACAGTGCCAATATCATTATCAGAGTTGTTTCTTTTTGTTTGCATTTTTGACTGCTTGTGTTGCGGTTATTGCAAACGTGACGCCTTGAATAAAGGTGTCAGTTTTTGCGCCAGTTAAAAGGGTAAAACCTATTCCTATACTTTTGAGCTATTCCGAGCGGGCACGCGAATGAGTAACTACACCGCAAGCCCACGGGCAAAGATCCCCCTGCTATAGCCGTGACGGACTGCCGGGGCAAGCACTGTTAGGGAGCACCCACGAATGCCGGCACGGCGGCGCACGAGGGCGTGGGTGGACAGCAGCGCGCCCGGCTGCCTTTGTCTCCCCGGTGGCGATAGTTACACACCGCGCCGCTACTTAGCAAGATGTTCCCAGGCAAGGCCCACCTAGCTAGCTACGTCGCTCTTCTTCAGGAGGAACGCGGTGCCAGATTCAAATGTCCCCGCGGTGAGCTGAGCGGGCCGCGGCGGCGCCGGCCCGTGGGGAGCGGTGGTGCCGCGGTTCGCACGATTCGCCACGAACCCGGCGACCCGAGTTCGATTCCCGGCCAACTCCAGTGACGATCTTCTGGACCGGTCCTGGGCCTCCGCTAGGTGGACTAGCGGGTGAGCACGCACACGCGCTACGAACCCGGCGACCCGAGTTCGATTCCCCCCCCCCGTTCACGGCCACCAACAACCGCCGGTGGCGATTATCTGAACCGGCCGCGGGTCCTCTAGGTTGACTCGGCCTCAAAAGAATACTTGTTGCGGTGTGTAAACATCGCCACTGGAGAGACAAAGGCGGCGGGGCGTGGTGCTGGCCACCCACCCCATCGTGTGCGGTGCCGGCCGTGGTAGGTGCTCGCTGACAGCACTTGCCCCAACGGTGTGTTAAGGCTACACGGGGGATCTTTGTCTTGTGTATCTGTTGGCACGGTAGGGGGTACAGCTGGTGTATCTGCCAGTCATCTCGATCAGCCAACCCATGGCACCTGGATCTGTCCCGTGACCTCCTGTCAACGAGCCTTAAACACTTCACGTGGCCTCAAAGTGCACCTGCCCTGGCACAAGCGCCGTGGTGACGTCACCGTCACTCAGTGGCGGGTATTGGTGTATCTCTGTGTGTGTGTGTATGTGTGTGTATGTGTGTGTGTTGTGGGGAGTGATAGTGTAGCGGTTAGCGCGCTGCACTATGAACCTGGCGACCCGGGTTCGATTCCCGCTCACGGCCAACACCAGAGGCGATTATCTGAACCGGTCCCGGGCCTCCCGTAGGTCAACTCAGCCTCAAATGAGTACCTGGTGCGGTGTGTAGTAAACATCGCCACTAGGGAGACAGAGGCGGTCGGGCGTGGTCCTGGCCACCCACCCCCTCGTGTGCCGTGCCGGCCTTCATAGGTGCTTGCTAACAGCACTTGCCCCTACAGTCTGTTAAGTCTATACGGGGGATCTTTGTCTTTGTGTGTGTGTGTGTGCAGCGCGCGAGGCGTGGAAGCGCCGCTACCTGCATGAGAAGAGAGCCACCCCTGCGCTGGAGGAGGAGCTGCGTCCCGTTCGGGAGGAGCTGGACGCGCTGCTGTCCCGCAACGCGCACCTCACCGCCACCGTCACCACCCACACACTCAAGGTCACTGAGTAAACATCTCTTCACTACCGCCAACACCATCACACTCAAGGTCACTGAATAAACATCTCATCACCACCGTCACCACCATCACACTCAAGGTCACTGAATAAACATCTCATCACTACCGCCAACACCACCACCATCACACTCAAGGTCACTGAATAAACATCTCATCACTACCGCCAACACCACCACCATCACGCTCAAGGTCACTGAATAAACATCTCATCACTACCGCCAACACCACCACCATCACGCTCAAGGTCACTGAATAAACATCTCACCGCCACCGCCACCACCATCACACTCAAGGTCACTAAATAAACATCTCATCACTACCGTCACCACCATCACACTCAAGGTGACTAAATAAACATCTCATCACTACCGTCACCACCATCACACTCAAGGTCACTGAATAAACATCTCATCACTACCGTCACCACCATCACACTCAAGGTCACTGAGTAAACATCTCATCACTACCGCCAACACCACCACCATCACGCTCAAGGTCACTGAGTAAACATCTCTTCACTACCGTCACCACCCACACACTCAAGGTCACTGAGTAAACATCTCTTCACTACCGCCAACACCATCACACTCAAGGTCACTGAATAAACATCTCATCACTACCGTCACCACCATCACACTCAAGGTCACTGAATAAACATCTCATCACTACCGCCAACACCACCACCATCACGCTCAAGGTCACTGAGTAAACATCTCTTCACTACCGCCAACACCATCACACTCAAGGTCACTGAATAAACATCTCATCACTACCGTCACCACCATCACACTCAAGGTCACTGAATAAATATCTCATCACTACCGCCAACACCACCACCATCACGCTCAAGGTCACTGAGTAAACATCTCTTCACTACCGTCACCACCCACACACTCAAGGTCACTGAATAAACATCTCATCACTACCGTCACCACCATCACACTCAAGGTCACTGAATAAACATCTCATCACTACCGTCACCGCCATCACACTCAAGGTCACTGAATAAACATCTCATCACTACCGCCAACACCACCACCATCACACTCAAGGTCACTGAATAAACATCTCATCACTACCGCCAACACCACCACCATCACGCTCAAGGTCACTGAATAAACATCTCACCGCCACCGCCACCACCATCACACTCAAGGTCACTAAATAAACATCTCATCACTACCGTCACCACCATCACACTCAAGGTGACTAAATAAACATCTCATCACTACCGCCACCACCCACACACTCAAGGTCACTGAATAAACATCTCATCACTACCGTCACCACCATCACACTCAAGGTCACTAAATAAACATCTCATCACTACCGTCACCACCCACACACTCAAGGTCACTAAATAAACATCTCATCACTACCGCCACCACCATCACACTCAAGGTCACTAAATAAACATCTCATCACAACCGTCACCACCATCACCATCACAACCAAGGTCACTAAATAAACATCTCATCACCACCGTCACCACCATCACCATCACACTCAAGGTCACTAAATAAACATCTCATCACCACCGTCACCACCATCACCATCACACTCAAGGTCACTAAATAAACATCTCATCACCACCGTCACCACCATCACCATCACACTCAAGGTCACTAAATAAACATCTCATCACTACCGCCACCACCATCACACTCAAGGTCACTAAATAAACATCACTACCACCACCACCTACACACTCAAGGTCACTAAATAAATATCTAATCTCACCGCCACCACCACCACCATCACACTCAAGGTCACTAAATAAACATCTCATCACTACCGCCACCACCATCACACTCAAGGTCACTAAACGCACTTCTCGCCATCACTACCACCACCGCCGCCACCACCGCCACCACCGCCGCCACCGCCACCACCACCACCACCGCCACCACCGCCACCACCACTATATTGTTTCGTGCTTCGGGACCCGTGGCAGGTAGTCTATGTCACGGTGGCGAGATGTTAACTACCTCGCCCGGTACACAGGAGGTTGTGGGTTCGATCCCGACCCTGACGCCTGCTGCTGATGTATATTTGGAGTTTGTGTGTCTTTCTCCTCGTGGTCGCGTCCATTTTTTTTTACTGGATCCTCCGGTTTTTCCCTCCGCGTTTAGAATCAAGGCGCGAGAGAAGTTCAACGTACACGCATATGTTGAAGGAGGGCAGACTGCAGTGGTTTAACTCTATGGTCCATTGTTTGGGTTGCATGGCCACGATCACATGGTGGCAAGATGTTAACTACTTCGCCTGGTGCACAGGAGATCGTGGGTTCCATCCCGATCCTAGCTGCGTATATTTGGAGTTTGCGGTGTGTCTCTCGCCGTGGAGTTTTCTCCACGCCTTGAGAGTATTTGGCTTCGGCTATAGATGTCCACGTGGCGATAAGCCCACTTCGTTGAGCTATCATTTGTGATGGCCAGGTCGCTTCTGAAAGAGATAAATAGCTCAGTGGGGCTTTACCAGTTTAAATAGTCTTAACGGCACTCTCCCCTAAATAACTATTTAAGACCAAAAACAGGAGGAGGATTTCTCGACAACTCTGGCTGTCGCCTGATGAAGCCGGTTGCAATTACCGGCGGAACGTCACAGCTACTCGAATTTGTGAATGTTGTGGGTTTACTCTCCAACACATAGCCGGTGTGTGCCGAACCAAGTAACGAATTGGGCACGTTTTTGTTTACGTAACAAACCTCCTTACTAACTGGCTGTGTCGGGTGGTGGCGGGCTTCACGACACATTTACATTTACGCGAGCTAACCCCAAAAACAAAACAAAAACCCCGTCCTCTATTGTGAAGAACTGTTGAAGGCTTACCGCGACCAGAGCCGGTATACAGACAATCGACACTGGCCGCACACACACACACACACGAACGCACACACGCCGAAGACGATGATGCATTCGCTCATCGTTATTTCCGCCGTTCATTTGCGCGTTAACACATCCAGCTGTGCCTTCGTTCGTTACGGTGACCCATTCAGTGGTTCATTCACCCGCCGATGAAATCACTCACCCCCGCAGGACACGCTCCTCGCGCGACTGCAGGGCGCCCAGCAGCGCGTGGAGAAGCTCGTCGGAGACATTGAGAGCGGCGCGGCGAAACTCCGCTCCGAGCAAAAGGTGACGGCGGCGGCGGCGGGAAAAGAACACGTCGCCAAGTAAAGCGAAACGTCTCAGAACTTGACGAGCGTTGCCGCCGTTAAGATGCTCGCGGCGGCGGCGGCGGATATCGGCTTTGTGGGCCACGTCAGCTCGACCAGGGGGGGACGGACGGTGGGGCACGGGGGGGCGGGGGGGCACGGGGACGGCAGTGGCTACGGTGCAACGTCGTGAAGGGCGCATGCACGCACGTACGTCGAACTTCTTTCGCGCCGTGCGTAAGCCGACCCGCGCTAATCGGAGGTGCGGGGGGAAGGAGGCCCCTTTCCCACGTCATCGTCGCGCCAGTCGGGACCGTCGCCGCCATAACCGTCGTGCTGCCGCTGTCTGCCTCCTCGCCCCGCCCCCCCCCCACCCATCCCGGCGCAGCTGCGGAAGGACGCCCAGCAGGAGCTCAAGGCGGCACGGGCGCAGTTGGCGCAGCGGAGGGCGCTGGCGTCCGTGGCAAGAAAACCCGGAGTCGCGTACGGGCTCTAGCGCGCTCGCCGCACGAGGGCGGAATGTCCACCTTCGGGTCGAGAGCGGCCGCTGTCGACGAAGGCTTGTGTCCACCCCCCCCCCCCGCCACCGCGTGCTCATTGGAGTGCGGAGGACACGCTTGGGAGTTCCTTTGCTTATCTTTGCGTTAGTTTCTTCGCCGAAAGTATTTCATCGAAGAAACGCGTACGGCGCGCACGGCAACGATAATTACCAACGTTCGATATTTTGAAGCGCCTATCTGCGCCGTGTGTTTCAATAAAGTGGGGGGTGCTATTTGTGCGCCATTTAATTAAACCCGCTCGGGTCTGCCCTGACAAGGAGATGTTGTATCTCAGTGGCACGGGGTATGGGATACCTATCTGCGGCCTGTGGGCCAGACGCGCCCCATGACTTCATTTTATACAGGCCGTGCGGATTGCTTTTCTCCGGGTCCCTCCGGTTTTCCCCCTTCACATTTAGAATCAACGTGCGTTTCGATGATTTTGCTGCTATACGTTTCCACGTGACGATAAGAAACTTCATCGAGGTATAATTTGTCACCAAGCCCACCAAGCTGTTAGTAGCTAATTGCTCGGTGGGCTTTACCTGGTGAGATAAAAAAACAGAGAGTTTAGTTATATTTGTATGTATGTATATTACTGGTAGGGACCTCCTGGTTACTACACCAGCCCACAGGGGATTATTGTGCCCGTCCGTCCGTCGTGCATCCAAAAATGGGAGGGGTGGAGAGGGGAGGGTGGGAGGGGCTGGGGTGGGGAGGGGAGGGTGGGGAGGGGCTGGGGTGGGGAGGGTGGGGAGGGTGGGGCTGGGAGGGAGGGGCTGGGTGGAGAGGGGAGGGTGGGGCTGGGTGGGGAGGGAGGGCTGGGTGGGGAGGGAGGGGCTGGGGGTGGGGAGGGAGGGGCTGGGAGGGGGGGGTGGGAGGGGTGGGGCTGGGTGGGGAGGGGCTGGTCACCCCGTGGTGCCCTTATAAAACTCAACATTTAACCTACTCACGCCGGGATGTGCCCGCCCTCACAGTCGGGCATATTTGCGGAATACACCACGTGGTGCCGCCCTTGACCCTGACCGAGCAACCCAACGTTCCTACCAGCCCCCTCCGCAGGAATGTGTTTGATTTGTTAACTTGTCATATACTTTGCACTCCTATCGTGTTTTTGTATTGTTTGTTCTTGTAACGTTCTGACCCTGCGCCCCTACTGGACATCTGCGAAAGAAGAGCTTCACAGCTCGTCGGATTCCTCCAGTACAAATAAATATTCTGATTCTGACATATCACTCGCCGCCGATTGCTCTGACCGTGACCTTTACCCAAACTCGTGTTGGTTGCCCGGTGTGGACTGCTGTGAGCGAACCACCTTGCGCCGCTGTTCCACCCATAATTTACTTAGGGCGGCCACGGGTGGCGAGGAGGTGTTGACTACCTCGCCCGATATGCAGGTTCGTGCATTTGATCCCGACCCTGACGCCTGCTGTACACTTGCAGTTTGTATGTTCTCCCCGTGGTCGCGTGGGTTTGTCCTCGCTGCACGTTTAGAATCACGCGTTCAGATCGCTTGGCTGCCCTGAATGTCCACGTGACGTTGAGAAGCCACTTCGCCGAGCTATCATTTGTGGCCAGGTCGCTTCTGAAAGAAAAAACAAAAACCGGCTCACGAATTATACGCAGGTAACGTCGCACTGCTCGGGCGCAAGAGGGAAATATTTCTGTTGTACCTGACAACACGGTTTCTCTCTCAATAGATATATAGCACGTTCGCTCGTTCGCTCACCCGCCACTGACGGACTGCGATTCACAGGCATCCATCGATGCGCGAGCGTTCGGTTCCCGAGATTTCGCGTGAGCGCGGGCTGACAAAGTACGGACCGTTTTCGGCGAACTGTAAATCGAATTTCCGCGTGAACGAAATGTCACTTCGGCGTTGCTGCTGTTGCGCTGTAGGTTACTCCCAGAGTCTATGCTCCCGTGCAACCGGCTCCCGTTATCGTAATGAGGGGACAGGCCAGCTAATGACAATAATAGACGAGTTCGGAGGCGATGAGTGGATACTCCGCGTTGTGTTCTGCCCTCCTCTTGAGGATCGAGTGATCCCACCACAGAGGGACACCAGAGGGTTGTGGAACGCCAAACTCTTTATTTAAAAGTGTTCTTCTGAGAAGCATTCATGCACCTGCAATTATGACCAGATGCACACCAATCGTCACCCCACGTTCCACAACAACCTCAACGTACATACATACTCACACAGAGACCCATAGACTTACACAGAGACCCATAGACTCACACAGGAACCATAGACTCACACAGAGACCCATAGACTCACACAGAGACCCATAGACTCACATAGAGACCCATAGACTCACACAGAGACCCATAGACACTTCAGCACTCAGGCCTTTACTAATGATGTGCTTCACTCGGATATTGACAAGGTCTGTGATATCCCCAACCTGACTACGGCTTGGGAGACCTTCAGGTACACGTTTCTCCAAATTCTTAACAACCATGCTCCGTTGGTTAGATATAAAACTAAAGGCAACCGCCCACCATGGTTTGATCCTTTGATTACAAAGCTCATGAAAACTAGGGACAAGGCTTGGGCATGTGCTCAGAAAAGTAATTTGGTCAATGACTGGCTAGAATACAGGATTTTAAGGAATAGATGCGTCAAAAAAATAGGGCATGCAAAAAATGCCTACTTTTCCTCCACTCTCCTGGAATCACATGGAAATGCCAGGATTTTCTGGAAAACAATCAAATGTATCGAAAAGGCATCCAAAACAGACAATCTGCCCGTTGAGCTTAACCGAAATGGGGAATATTTTTCAGATCCCAAAAAAATAGTTGACAATTTTAACCTTCATTTTTCTGAAGCTGGTAATCTTTTTAATAATGTATTGGGAGTCACCCCTGCTCATGCAAATTCCTACACCCCTGTCCAAACATTAATCGAATTTAGTTTCCAGCCAATCCACGAAAATAATGTTCTGAAACAACTGTCCTACCTCAAAGGGTCCTCCTCTACTGGAGCAGATAGTATTCCCGTCTTTGCTCTACTAACTGTTGGTCACCTAATATACAAACCTATAGCCCATATTTTCAACCTGTCCATCAAAGAAGCATCAGTTCCTCTAAGAATGGGAACATTCCTATATCCGTCCACTTCACAAAGGGGCCCTAAAGATTATCCAAATAACTACCGACCTACCTCAATTTCGTCACCGTTGATGAAAATTTTTGAAAAATTATTGACCTACCAAATTAGCAGTTTCCTGTCCACCAACAATCTATTACATCTAAAACAATTTGGGTTCCGAAAAAAATACAGCACCACATCTGCTGCATTAGACTCTCTGAATCACATTTATAGTAGCCTTGATAATATGCAGTACTGTGCCTGTCTTTTTCTAGACCTGTCGAAAGTTTTTGATACAGTAGACCACAACACCCTGCTTAGTAAACTAAGTTGCCTCGGTTTTTCCGAAAACGCAGTAAAATGGTTACAAAATTACCTTTTTTAATGCACCCAAACTGTATTCACAGATGGTTGGAGGTCAAACAGTGTTACGATAACAAAAGGGGTTCCACAGGGTTCCATCCTCGGCCCCCTTTTGTTCTCTCTTTATGTCAATGATTTGGGCACTGACCTGGATCATTCCAGGGTAAATCTTTTTGCAGATGACATGATACTGATTACTGCTGGCCGCTCTCCGGATGACGTGATTGCTAAGCTACAGGGTGAATTCAACAAACTACATCAGCTAGTTGCTCTTAAACTAGTCCTGAATACCTCCAAAACCAAGGTGCTATGCTTCTCACCAGGACTAAAGCAGGAAGTTATTTTTCCCCAATTACATTCCTTAAATAAGTATCAAATAGAGCAAGTCAAGATCTATAAGTATCTTGGGGTCATCCTGGATTCAAAACTAAATTTTGAAGATCACATTGGAATTGATAAAAGCTACCATACTGCCTCTACTTGACTACTGTGACATCGTGTATAAATCAGCCCCGAGTATTCATCTTCTTTGGTTCTTTCGGTAAAGTCACGTAGAATGAGAAAAAAATAATAAATTAGTAAAATAAAATAACACAATAAAATTCTCACGACGTTTCGGCCACAACACAAGCGGCCTTCATCAGGTGAAGGGACGAGACTGTCTGGAGGACAGCGCTGGAGCGAACACAGCCAAGCTCAAACCGCGACCTTTAAGATGTGTGAGAAGAAACATAGCGCCTTGACAAAGGAATTAGCATAGAATTTAGCATTGCAATAGCATTGAAAATAGCAATAGCATTGAAATGCTAAATTCTCCTGTTTGATTTGTACTAGGTGCCTCTGTGGATGTGTAGGCTTTGACTTTAACGTAACTATTTCTATGACCAGTCACAAGCTAATCACTCAGCTATTGCAATGCTAAATTCTATGCTAATTCCTTTGTCAAGGCGCTCTGTTTCTTCTCACACAGCTTTAAGGTCGCGGTCTGAGCTTGGCTGTGTTCTCTCCAGCCCTGTCCTCCAAATAGTCTCGTCCCTTCACCTAATGAAGGCCGCTTGTGTTGTGGCCGAAACGTCGTGAGAATTTTATTGCGTTATTTTATTTTATTATTTTATTATTTTATTCTCATTGTACGTGACTTTACCGAAAGAACAAAAGAAGATGAATTCTTGCAGTCACGAAAGCTTTAAATCGAAAAAATTCAGCCCCAAGTACTGTACTTAAGAAGCTTGATTCCATCTATCACTCGGCCTTGAGATATACATTGAACTGCCCATATAGGACTCACCACTGTGATCTCTACATTGGGTCAAACTTAACATCTCTTAATGTTCGACGGTTTGTGCACCAGATCTTATTTATTCACGATGTACTTACAAAAAAATCCGCAGACTACCTGCTGGATCTCCTCTCTGTTTCAAAGAACAAATTTGACCTCAGGTCTTCGCTCATTTACCAGCTTCACATTCCCTATTGCCGTACAAAATCTGGAGGAAGGGCCTTTGCTATTGATGCCCCCAGGGTCTGGAATGCTATTGCCAATAAACTGCAACTTGAATCGCTACCAATGAGATCTACTCTCAAAACTGCTCTAGAGGAGTTGTACACCCCTAGCTGCCACTATTCATTGGCGTAAATAAAATAAAATGTTTCGCTCTGGATGACGCTGCAAAGTATTTTCTGTATTTTGATTTAGCGTGCTGATCTTAAAGGTGCATTGAAAAATTTGATACTCCGACTGATGCTTGTTGTTGTGGAAAAACTCATGCAGCCAGCTATGGCTCTAGGATTTGGTGTTACATGTTATTTATGTAGTTTATTGTAAAAATTCGGTCACAGTCCCTATGATCACTGTTACGTTGCAATTATGGCTTTATTTTTTGGTGATTTTCGAAAAGTTTTTTTGGTTGGACATGTTTGTTTTGTTGTAGTACGGAGTTAGACTGATGGCCTTAATCTCAGTTGTCTTGTGGTTGTTGTTGTTTGACTTGCATCCCACTGGGATTTTTTTGCATACAGCATTGGTGTACGGTGCTTTTTCAGGAATATTTTGCAGTTTTTTTCATGGATTTTCTGTTTGCACAGTCATAGTCACTTTAAGATGTTTTCTTGTTCGTGTTGTTTGTTTTTTTGTTTGTTGTGGTTGCACCCGATTCACGAGCCGAATGGCTCACAGGGCTATACCAACATAAATAAACTGAAACTGAAATAGACTCACACAGAGACCCATAGACTCGCCCAGAGACCCACAGACTCACACAGAGACCCACAGACTTACACAGAGACCCACAGACTCACACAGAGACCCACAGACTCACACAGAGACCCATAGATTCACACAGAGACCCATAGATTCACACATAGACCTATAGACTTACACAGCGACCCATAGACTCACACAGAGACCCATAGATTCACACAGAGACCCATAGATTCACACAGAGACCTATAAACTTACACAGAGACAAATAGACTCACACAGAGACCCACAGACTCACACAGAGACCCACACTCACACAGAGACTCACAGACTCACACAGACCCACAGACTCACATAGAGACCCATAGATTCACACAGAGACCCATAGATTCACACAGAGACCTATAGACTTACACAGAGACCCATAGACTCACACAGAGACCCATAGACTCACACAGAGACCCAAAGATTCACACAGAGACCCATAGACTCACACAGAGACCCATAGACTCACATAGAGACCCATAGACTCACACATAGGTTTGAGGTTGTTACGGCCACAATGGTACCCACTTGTGGCGTTCGAGTGAGTAGTCTGCTTCGTCTTTCTCAAGCGCTGCTTGCATCTAGCCGCTCGCTTTACAGCTGCACTCAAACCCCATGGAGCGAGTGCGGCCCTCCCATCACCGCAATGCACGTTCCGGGGCCCCCTCCTCAATGCACGTTCCGGGGGTGGCCGCCTCATTAATGAACGTTCCGGGGCTCCCTCCCCTCCTCAATGCACATTCCGCCCCCCCCCCCTCTTCAATGCACGTTCCGGGGTCCTCCCCTCTCAATGCGCATTCCAGGGCCTAACCCCCTCAATGCGCGTTCCGGGGCTCCTCCCCCTCCTCAATGCGCGTTCCGGGGCCCCGGCTCCCTCTTGGCCATTGTGTTCCCAGCGCGCGTACTGTCTCGCGGTACAGTGCGCGCTCTCCATTAACAACAACAATCAACAACAATTCAACAACAACAACAATTCAACAACAACCAACAAACAAGCAGCAGCAGCACAGACTCACGCGCCTCGAAGGAGCCGCCCTCGTCGCATGTGCAAGCCGTGAGTCGATCTCTGTTTGATATTTCCCCACGCACGCAGACGCCCCTCACTCCACTGCTGGATGATGATGAGGGAGGGGGGTGGGAGGGGCGAGCCCTCCCTCCCCTCCACGACATTGCGGGTGCGTTGGCCATACTTCACCCACGCGGGACAGTGCGCTTTGATGGTGCATCATCAACAACAACAGCAACATCGTTATCGACATCATCAGTGAAACCGTGATCGGTCCACTGCTGGATGGGCGAACAACCCTAAACCCCTCCCCCCATCCATCCATCCATGGCCTCCTCTCCACGCCGTGCGGTTTGTTGGGTTTTGTGATCCACGATTGTGGCCGTACTTTAACCACCGCTGCTCAGTGCAGACTTGGGTGAATGGAGCTGGTGAATTTGGTGGTGCGTGGTGGTGGTGATGGTGGTTGGTGGTGGTGGTGGTGATGGTGGTGGTGGTTGGTGGTGGTGGTGGTGATGGTGGTGATGGTGGTTGGTGGTGGTGGTGGTGATGGTGGTGGTGATGGTGGTGGTGATGGTGGTGGTGATGGTGGTTGGTGGTGGTTGGTGGTGGTGATGGTGGTTGGTGGTGGTGGTGGTGGTTGGTGGTGGTGGTGATGGTGGTGGTGGTGATGGTGGTTGGTGGTGGTGGGTGGTGGTGATGCGTGGTGGTGGTGGTGGTGATGGTGGTGGTGGTGATGGTGGTTGGTGGTGGTGGTTGGTGGTGATGGTGGTGGTGATGGTGGTGGTGATGGTGGTTGGTGGTGGTGGTTGGTGGTGGTGGTGGCTTGCTGTGGTTTAGGTTTAATCGGGGCCGTTGCTGCTGCCACAGATGGTTTTGATGGTGGTTGGTGGTGGTTGTTGGTGGTGATGGTGGTTGGTGGTGGTGGTTGCTGTTGGTGGTGATGGTGGTTGGTGATGGTAGTTGGTGATGGTGGTTGGTGATGGTGGTTGTTGTTGGTGGTTGGTGGTGGTGGTGGTTGGTGGTGGTTGTTGGCTGTGATGGTGGTTGGTGGTGGTGGTTGCTGTTGGTGGTGATGGTGGTTGGTGATGGTAGTTGGTGGTGGTGGGTGGTGATGGTGGTTGTTGGTGGTTGTTGTTGGTGGTGGTTGTTGTTGGTGGTGATGGTTGTTGTTGGTGGTGATGGTTGTTGGTGATGGTGGTGATGGTGTGTGGGGGGGAGCGGTGGTGCAGCGAGATTATCTTTGGCACAACAACAACCACAATAATAATTGCCGCTATTAATCGCTGCTGTTATTATAATTACCATCGTTATTCGCAGCGGTTAGCGCTACGAACCTGGCGACACGGGTTCGATTCCCGTTCACGGCCACCGGTCATGGGCCTCCCCCTAGGTCGACTCAGCCTCAAATGAGCACCTGGTGCGGTGTGTAGTAAACATCGCCACTGGGGGAGACAAAGGCGGCCGGGCGTGGTGGTGCTGGCCACCCACCCCCTCGTGTGCCGGTAGCCTTCATAGGTGCTGCTACTCGCTAACAGCACTTGCCCCTACAGTCTGTTACAGGCTACACGGGGGACCTTTGTCTTTGGTGAACTCGGTGGCAATTCGCGTTGAGACCTTGCGACGTCGCTGCCCTTTCAGTCGGGGGTCACGGGGCTGGTGGGGGTCACGGGGCTGGTGGGGGGTCACGGGGCTGGTGGGGTGTCACGGGGCTGGTGGGGGGTCACGGGGCTGGTGGGGGGTCACGGGGCTGGTGGGGGGTCACGAGGCTGGTGGGGGTCACGGGGCTGGTGGGGGGTCACGGGGCTGGTGGGGGTCACGGGGCTGGTGGGGGTCACGGGGCTGGTGGGGGGTCACGGGGCTGGTGGGGGGTCCCGGGGCTGGTGGGGGTCACGGGGCTGGTGGGGGGTCACGGGGCTGGTGGGGATCACGGGGCTGGTGGGGGGTCACGGGGGTGGTGGGGGGTCACGGGGCTGGTGGGGGTCCCGGGGCTGGTGGGGGGTCCCGGGGCTGGTGGGGGGTCCCAGGGCTGGTGGGGGGGTCACGGGGCTGGTGGGGGTCACGGGGCTGGTGGGGGGTCACGGGGCTGGTGGGGGGTCACGGGGCTGGTGGGGGTCACGGGGCTGGTGGGGGGTCATGGGGCTGGTGGGGGTCACGGGGCTGGTGGGGGGTCACGGGGCTGGTGGGGGTCACGGGACTGGTGGGGGGACACGGGGCTGGTGGGGGGTCACGGGGCTGGTGGGGGGTCACGGGGCTGGTGGGGGTCACGGGGCTGGTGGGGGGTCACGGGGCTCGTCGGTCTGTCACGTGGTATTCGGCGAGATGATCTTTGGTGCAATAACAATAATAATTGCCGTCATTAAATCGTTGCTGTTATAATTATCGTCGTCATTATATACGCTCGGCGCCGTGTATTAACAACATGACACGAGGTGAGACACGAATAAGATGATTTTATCTCTCTCACATAAACGACCCCACAGTCTCTAAAAAAAAAAACGCCTGTGGATGTAGATCCGCTTTCAAGGTCGGCGATCAGTTTTTTTTGTTGTGTTTCCTCCCTCCCCACCCACCCCGTCCCCCCCACCAAAAGCCGCGGCGCGATCGGAGGAATTTACCTGCGCGTGGTGCAAACCGCGGGGCCCGGCTGGTTTCCACCGTCGCAGGGATTCGTCGGTGAGCCACCGACGCCGCCGCCGCCGCCGCACGGTCGTGCTGCTTATCTTTGTGGTTTGTCGAGAGAAATGGATTTTGTATCCGCCACAAGGTCGGCTCCACGTCCCGGCGCGTCGAAAAGTGCACGGCGGCGAATCACGCATGCATGCGTTAGTTTGAACACATTTCAAAAACGTCCTCATTGATCATGTGCCCACCATGTTTCTGGCTCGAGTTTATTGCCCATTCCTTCGCCGTCAAAGCGCGCGGCTTAACAAACTAAACCAAAAAAAAAACCACGCATTTGGGTGCCCGGAAAAAATAGATATATTGAGGGAATTGCATGAGAAATAAAATGGAACCGAACACCTCTCTCTCCTCTCTCTCCTCTCTCCCGTGTTAAAAATGAGAAACCCTCACAGCATGCGGAACGAACGGCCTTGCCGTGGGCTTTGTCTACGTTTTTATGATCATCGAGCGATGCACGCAGACCGCCCGGCTTTTCGCAAGTGGCTGGTTTTGCGCAAGTTGTTAAACAGACTCAGGGCGACGGTGGTGGTGTGTTGGTGGTGGTGTTGTTGTCACGGTAGGGGGCACAGGTGGTGCATCGGCCAGTCATCTCAGTCGACCCACGGCACCTGGGTCTGCCCCGTGACCTCCTGCCAGCGGGCGTTCGACACTTCACGTGCACATGGCCTGGCACAAGCGCCGTGGTGACGTCACCGCCACTTAGTGGCGAATGGCGGTTGTTGTTGTTGTGTCTGTGCTCATCAGTGAGCCGGCCGTAGCCACGCGCACAGTTTTTCAGACGCGACCTTGGCTGTCACAAATGATTGCCCGACAAAGGTGGCTTGCCGTCACGGTGGACATTTATAACAGCAGTCGAATACTCCCTTAACACGCCTGATGTTGATTCTGAATGTGGAGGGAAAAACCGGAGGACCCAGAGAGAAAAAAAAATCCACACGACCACCACGGGCAGAGAGACACCGCAAACTGCAAAGAAAAAGCAGGCATCGTCAAGGTCGGGATCGAACCCACGACCTCCTGTATACCAGGCGAGGTAGTTAACATCTCGCCACTGTGTCATGACAGAAGACGACTGATTGATGTTTCTGTGTATTTAAAAAAAAAAGTATTTTACCAGGTAAGGCCCAGTGAGCTGTCTAACTCTTTTTCAAAAGCGACCTGGCCACCAATGATAGCTCAACGAAGTGGTTTATCACGTGGAAATTTATAGCAGGAACCAAATGCTCTAAACCCATGTTGATTTTGAATGTGGAGGGAAAAACCGGAGGACCCGGAGAAAAATCGGGGAGAGAGAGAGACATACAAACTCCAAATACACAGGTGTCAGGGTCGGGATCGAACCCACGACTTCCTGTATACCAGGCAAGGTTATTAACATCCTGCCACCCTGGAGCCCTATTTGAGCTCATCGGTGAGCTATAATTACCAACTCAGTTGTCTACACAACATAAGGGGAGTGCGTGGGTGGAGTCACGTGATGTATGCCACGTGACTGATGGAGTGCCCTAGCCAATAACATCAGGAAACCCAGCAGAGTGCGTGCCTTTTACACGATTCACGTTGATTTCGGTTTAACCAGGCGAGAGGGATGAGTCCCACTTCCAATCCTAGCCACTGAAACCGGTCAAGAGTTTTGCTGTTCTCAACAGAATCAGAATCTTGAGTTATCCTGGAGAAATTCGATGAGCTGTGAAGCTCTTTTACCACACAGATGTCCAGTAGTGGCACAGGCTCAGAAGGTTACAACAGCAAAACAATACAAAAAACACGATGGCAGTGCAAAGTATAGGCAAGGAAAATAAATCACTAAAAATAAATACGTAAAATAAAGTTAAAATTTCACAAGTACACTAATTCCCAATCTTGGGCAAGGCAGCAAAACAACAGCAGGGACAGTCCCAGACCCCATCAAGACAAACACGGCCCCTCAAGAGAATTGCACATTCAAATTTAACTATTGATACACGAGCTGTTAAGGATGAAAGTTACAAATCGGATTCGCAAATGCGGTTGCATCCAGCGGCAGTCTTCTCCTTCAGGGTATTTCTGGAAGGAAGATTTATGATGTTAAGGGGAGGCGACGAGGTTGTTCCAACACGTTGGTGCTGCAACGGACAAAGGCTTTGTCACCTGTTCCCATCCTTGTTCTTCAACTTCTGCCGATGACAGACTCGTACGTCATCGGCGCTGACCAGCGTGGTGAGGTATGGTCAAGCAAAGGCTCCATTATCGACGATGCGTGGAGAGGCATTAATCCAGCGGTGGATTGACACGGCGCTCCGTTTATTAATTTACTTAATTTCTTTAACTGTGTTAGGTGCAGTTACATTGGCGTGGGTTTACCGTGCGCAACCGCGGGTTATTTGAGTAAAAGTAGCGCGATTTTACTTTATTCCGCACAGATTCCATTCCGATGGTGTACGTGTACATCAACAGAACGGAACCGGAATAACAAACAATAAAATAATTTTTATCGGTACCGAGGCTCCCACAAGGCCGTGCGGGAGGGGCGTTTGCCACAGTTTTGGCCTCCGGCTATTGTAGAGTGGACCCGGTCGTGCCGCTGCGGATCCCTTGCTGCGAGTGACGGCGTCTTTTTAAAAACAACGGTGCTGCCGCTAGGCCTCTCTTAAATAAAATTAACGCCGGGCCGCTTGTACGCGTTCCGAGATTCTGCGGTGAACGGGGGACACCTTACCCTGCAAACTAGCTGGATGTCTCGGAATGGGGGTGAAGTGTGGTGAAATATGGTCGAGCAAAGGCCACATCGACGAAGCGCGGGGAGGCATTAATCCAGCGGTGGGTTGACACAGCACTCCGTTCGTGAATTTACTTAATTGCTTGAAATGTGTTAGGTGTAGTTAACTTGGTGTGGGTTTACCGTGCCAAACCACGGGCTATTTGGGTAAGCGTAGCGCGGTTTTACTTTATTCCGCACAGATGGACGCAACAGACTTAGAGCGGTTTTGTGTACGGTACATTTTGCGGACATCGGACAGCCACAGACGCACAGTTGGGTAACCGAGACAAAAAAAAAATGTTTTTTGCACGGTGCTCGTGTTCACGATCGAACGGCACACAGGTTCTCTCAAGGGCCCGCCAGAGACTCGTCTATAAATTGACGTAATATTTTGCACCCTTTTGTCAACGGTTGTCTCTACGTGAACTTTTAACTATTTGAACTTAACTATTTTTTCGTATTTTACCAGGTAAGGCCCACTGAGCTATGTAGCTCTTTTTGCAGAAACGAGCCGGCCATCACGAATGACAGCCCAACGAGAAGTGGCTTATCACGTGGACATTTATTGCAGACAAATACTCTAAACGCACGCATCTTTCTCAATGGACCCAGAGGAAAAATCCACGCGGCCACGAGGGAGAACATGCAAACTCCGAACATGCGGCAGACGTCGTCAGAGTCGGGATCAAACCCACAACCTCCTGTATAAAACAGGCGAGGCAGTTAACATCTCCTAGCCACCGTGGCGCCCACTTACGGTGCGAAAGAAGTTCAAAGTAACGTGAATACAATCCACGGCCTGTCGAAGGGCCCCTCCCCCCGTGGCGTGTCGCTCAGGGAAGTTGTTCCACCGTAATTCACCCCCCACAGGTGAACGCGTGGATGTACGTATGCTGAACTTCTCTGAATGAAAGTGAGTGATGGGGGACGGGCGGTGGGGGGGGTAGCTCACGATCGGTTCGGATATCACTCGCCACTGTTGCGAGCGATTGGCTCGGATTAACCGCTGTGCCCAGTGCTCCCAACCTGGGACCAATTACAGCCTGGCAGAGCAGCCTTGTCAAGCTGCACCTGGGATTAGCGCGGTTGGCCTGCGCACGGTGCGAAAGAAGTTAAATCCACATGACGACGGTGGTGATGATGATGGTGATGTTAAGGAGGTACCTGCATGACGAGAACGCGGGGGATGTTGTCGTCGATGATGGTGCGGCCGTCTGGAACGCTCTTCCGATATTAGGAAGCCACCGAAGCTTGCGCCACTTTTGACCCATCTAGATTAAAAACTAATTTCTTGACAACTGCTTTTTGTGTTTAGTTTGTTGTCCTTCCCACCCGCACCACCGATTAGCACGGTTGGCTGCGTACGGTGCGAAAGAAGTTCAACGTACACACCCACGTACGTACAACGGGGTCTTCCGGCTCGTCGACCTCGCAATTTAATTTCTTCCTCCGCCCTCCCCGCCCCGATGTCTCCCAGCACCTCAACCGGTTCCCGACGACGGGACTCCTCCTCGCTGGGACAACGCCGCTACCGCCGCCGCCACGACCACCGACTCATCCCCCTCCTCCTCGTCGCTCTCCGCCGGCGACTTGCCGCTGGGAAGCCCGGCGGACGTGCTCCTTTGGCGCCGCTCGGCGGTCTGAACCGCCAGCCGCCGCCACCGTCGTGGTCCGCGTAGGGTCGGAGCGCCGCCATGGATGGCGTAGGGCTGTGTGACGCGGGCGCCGCGTCGACCATCGCCGCCGGAGAAGAAGAGGAGGAAGAGGAGGAGGAAGAGGAGGAGGACGAGGAAGATGAGGAGGATGAACACATGCACAGCTTAGGCTTCCTCAGTGAGTGGTGCATGGCGTGAGGATAATGAATCTTAATTCGTGCGTCCGTTATTACTCCGATTCAATTGTCAAATCGAATCAATATAAGAAGCATACGTCCACAAATCCCTGCGTGGTCCTCGCCCCCACCGTGCCTTGCAAACTCGTGCGTCCTTCTCTACGTGTCGCCTTCTCGCCCCTTTCTACGTTCGCACTCTTTGCTGTCTCTGTCTCTCTCTGTTCCTCCTCCTTCTCGTGCTCAAGCCACACTTCCGCTCTCTCTCTCTCTATCTTCTCGGCCACCCCCTTCACTGAAACAAACTCCCCCCTCCACATGCGGTCACCCTTCGCTCACTAAGTTTCCGCTCCTCACTCAAAACTCACTTCTCGTTACCCCAAGCTCACCTCACGACCCCCCCCCCCACCATTAATCTCAACCTCATAACCACCACCGTTACTGTTTCATATTCTCATTAGATGTATGTCACTCATTCCCCATTAATTAATTCCATTCATCATCGTTTACTGTCAACAACTTCGCTTTCACCTAATTCACGCATCACAGATTTACCCCCCCACCCACCCCCCCATCGCTTCCTTTCATCCATTTCATTCACCTCATCTCCGCCACTACGTTGTTAATTCTGTGTATGGCACCTTGGATAACGCCTTCACCAAGGCGCAGAATTAACAGTGGCACATGTGTATATAAGGTGCTATTTAAATTATTTTAAAGATAAGATGATATGTTATATTGAACCGTTGTTAGCAGTGAATGTGGATCGTCGTCCTATTGGCTGCGAATAACCCCGACGGTTTAAAAAATTGTGCAGAGCGCCGTTCACGTAAAAAAAAACGGGGCCCAGGTGCCGGTGGTCGCATCGATGAGCGCCTCGCACCTTGAAACTCGTCGGGCCTGAGTTTGACGATTATCGTTATTAATGTTTCCAGCCGTAGATGCATATAAGCACACCTTCAGAATCGGAATCAGAAGTTAATTTCTCCACCGAGTGAAGCCCGCCGAGCTAAGCCGCTCTTTATTAAACGGTGACTCGGCCAGCAGGCGGAGTGAGTGGGTGAGTGGGTGGGTGATTAGTAGGAGAGTGGGTGGGTGAAATGAGCCAGCGATTGAGTGGGCGATTGGGTGTGTTCGCGGGTGAGCGAATGGGCGATGCGGGCGAGTGAGTGAATCGGTAGTTGGAGAGTTGACCCCCATGGCAGCGTTAACAATTGTAACGACGCATCGGTGTTTACGCGATCCACCCCCCAAAAAACCTGACGCTCTGTTACGGGCAACGTCGCCTCCCGTCGGTCAAAATATAAACGGAGATTTGCTGCTGTGCTCGTTTGGGGTTTTTTTTCCCTCCCCTCCCAGACGAGGCCGGGGAGTTCCTCCCTCCGTCTCCCACGGCCCTCGACGACGAAGAGCACTGGATCCTGCCCCTGGCAGAGGAGCCCGGCCAAGGTACCGACTCCGGCAGGGACGTGCCAGGAGCAGCGATGGGTGACCTCGAGGGGGCGCTGGGTGGTTTACACGAAGCACAGGGCGGTCTAGGTACGTGATTTTCTGTTTTTCTTATCGTCGTTTTAAAAAAAAAAAATTCATATCGTAATTATTATTTTTCTTTACATTTTTTTATCGTCAACTCAGTGCTAGGCAGACGGTTACAGACATCAGAACTTTCAGGCGGGGGTGAAAGCGGTGATTCGACGTTTCTAGATTTGAAGCTTTCGTGACTGCAAGGATCCATACTGTTTGGTTCTATTCGGTAAAGTCACGTAGGTAAAAAATAAAACAACAAAAATCTTTTTATTTTTTACCTACGTGACTTTACCGAATAGAACCAAAGAGTATGGATTCAACGTTTGTGCGGTCGCAGTCGTATCAAAACTTTATTGTTATTTCGCCACGTAAGGGCCCGATGAGCTACGGGGGGAGAGCTCTCTTTTTTTCATAATCGACCCTGGCTATCGCAAATGATGGTTCAACGAAATTGGCTCATCATCGTCATGTGGAAATTCATGGCAGCGGCCAAAAAACCCTGGGACGCGCGATGTCGATTCTGAAACGTGAAGGTTGACAAAAACCAGAGGGCTCGGAGAGAAGTTGACGCGACCACGGAGAGAGAGACACCGCAAACTCCAAATATACAGCAGCAGGCATCAGGGTCAGGATCAAAGCCGCGACCTCCTGTATACCAGGCGAGGTAGTTAACATCTCACGATGTTAACTAGTGATGTAATGATGCTGTTGGGGTTGTGGTGTTATGAGGTCTGGTGCTGTTGTGGAGTGGTCCAAATATCCTGCGGTGAGCTCTAAAGTTACCGAGACCGTTTCACTCGGCACCACGTATTGCAGTTCGTTTCACGCGTCGGGTTCCCTGCTACGCAGTGGGGAGATGTTAACAACCTCGCCCGGTGTGCAGGAGGTCGGGGATTCGACTCCGACCCTGACACCTGCTGCTGTATATTTGGAGCTTGCGTGTCTCCCTCCCCGTGGCGGTCGCGTGGATTTTTCTCCGGGTCCTCGGGTGTTTTTTCTTCCGCGTTTAGAAACGTGCGTTTACGTTATTTTGCTGCTGTACATTTCCACGTGATAAGCCAGCCACTTCGTTCAGCAATCACTCGTGGCCAGGTTGCTTCTGAAAAATAACCTAATAGCTCAGTGGGCTTTACCTGGTAAGATCAAAACAATTGTTTAGTTTTACTTGTGTGTGTGTGTATATATTGGAATGCGGTTTGTTTACCGTGTATCGTTTGTTGTTGTAATGTTCTGATCCCGTACCCCTACGGAACATCTGTGAAAAAGAGATTCGTAGGTCATCGGATTGCTGCACCAGCTATAAATAAATATGATGATTCTGAATTTCCATTTCTCCGTTCTACACCTTGGTTGATGGTTAAGACGATGTCGTCGTATGATGGTGTAATGTTGGCGATAAATGACACAAACTGTAAACTAATTTATATTTTACCAGGCGAGGCCCGCTGAGCTGCATGGCTCTTTTTCGGAAGCAACCATCACAAATGATAGCTCATAGGATTGCTCCTGCAGTATAAACAAATATTCTTTAAAAAAATACTTCAAGTGGTTGCCCCCCCCCGCCCCCCCTCTGCTCCCCCAACCCCCGACTGTGGTCGTGACATGCCGCACCCCTCCCCTCACCTCCCGCCTCTCAGCAGACATCGTCGAGGGCGGCTGCCCGAAACGTCGTCCCGGCCGGCCGATCCTGCACGGCGGGCGCGTGCGAAAGTCACGCGCCCGGGCTCCCCCTGCCGACGGCAAGGCCGCCGCCGCCGCCGCCGCCGCCAAGCCGCCTTCAAAGCGCAGCGAGCGCAACGGAGCCGGCGCCGGCGCCGCCGCCGCCGCCGCCGCCGGCGCCGCCGGGGACGAAATATCGAAGCGCCCGTACGCGTGCTCCCGCTGCGACTTCCGGTGCGCGTGGTCGGGCCAGCTGACGGTGCACGTGCGCTCGCACACGGGCGAGCGGCCCTACTTCTGCCACATCTGCGGCAAGGCGTTCACGCAGAGCGGCGACCTGCGCGCCCACCAGCGTTCGCACACGGGCGAGACGCCCTACCGCTGCGAGGCGTGCGGCAAGGCGTTCGCCCGCCGCGGCTCCTACCGCATCCACCGGCGCACGCACACGGGCGAGACGCCCTACAGCTGCGACGAGTGCGGCAAGGCGTTCACGCAGAGCGGCCACCTCGTCACCCACCGGCGGCTGCACACGGGCGCCAAGCCGTACAGCTGCGACGTGTGCGGCAAAGAGTTCGCGCGCAACTACAGCCTCAAGAGCCACCAGCGCACGCACACGGGCGAGACGCCCTACAACTGCGACATCTGCGGCAAGGCCTTCTCCTTCAGCTCCAACCTCAAGCACCACATGCGGTCGCACGCACGCGCCGAGCTGGCGTGGGCCGCCGCGGTGGAGGCCGCGGAGGGGGACGAGAGCAAAGGGTGACCCCCCCCCCCCCCCCCCCCCCTACTAGCCGTCTCACCCCCTTGCCCCCCACTGGCCGTCCGTCAGAGGCAGGAGAACGGCGGTGTCGATGCCTCGCCCGATATTTTTTTTCCTTCCCCCGCCCCCCCCCCCCCCCCCCCCCAACTCACCGATGGGGAGTGGGGGAACGGCCGAGCCCGCGGCGGAGATGCCAGCGAAAGGAACCGGTCAACGGCGCGCGCCGATTGGCGCGGCTGTTCCGTGGGGGGGGGGGGGGAGGGAGGTGCGGGGGGACCAAGGGAGAAGAGAACGTCGTTTGGAAGGGAAGCGAGGAGAATGGTTGGACCGTGATGCCCCCTCCCCCACCGTCCCCCATCACCACCGCCTCTGCCTCCGCCCGCCGTGTTCTTGGGTTTTGATTTCTCTGCTTCTCTGCGGCACCCGCGATGGTCGAGCGAGGATCGTCTTTGTTTTGTTGTTGTCGTCGTCGTTGTCGTCGCTGTAGCCATGGTCCTGTCGCCACCGTCGTCGTTAGCGTCGTCGTCGTAATTTAAGTGGCAGACGGGAGACGGAGGTTTTTGTGCGTGTTTTGGGGGTTTTGTTTCTGCTGCTGCCGCCGCCGAAAGTCAGCAGCCTCGCGACCTGGACCGCCCCCCCCCCCCCCCCCCACGGCTCTTTCTCGGCCACTTGATAGGCAGTCACGTGATTGGTCACACGACTAGCCGGTGTTAAACAAGGTGACGACGCGGGGTGGAATGTCGGCCACCCGTTGACTTTCCTCTCCCTGTGTGTATACGCGGCCCTCTCCGCAGTTGCATTTTTTTAGCTCCCCCCCCCACCCCCCCCGACGACTTTAAAGTTAACGGTTGTTGACTTTAAACATTTTGTCGCCAGTCATCGTTCAAATCGGTTTCTCAAAAACGTTATCGGGCAAATGGGTCTCCTTCGGTGCGCAGAGAATGGGCGGGGAAACCCACAGCCCGTCGATCCGAACATGGCCCTCCTTGGCGTCATTTCATAACGATTGTAATAATAATAATAGTATGAGAATAGGTTTTCCCATTTTTTTCTGGCAACAAAACAGGTGTTGAGATGTTAAAACACAAAAACTGAAACCTTTTTTTTACAAGGAATCATGTCTGACTTAACCACAATACTTGTGGTCAGAATGCAAACAAAAATAATAATAGTCTGTGCCCATTTCCGGAGGGGCCATTCATGTGGGACTGCATTTTGCGAAGCTGCGCAAATCCGCAACGCACGAAGGCGCATGCAGTAGAATCTCCTTCCCCCCCCCCCACTCTTGATGGCGGTAATTGGTTCCACAAAAGCATGTCCGCAGAGCGATTTGGTCGTTAGGCGAGTCGGGGAAATACACGTTACAAAGGCCCAATTCGTTCCGGTGGCGTCGAAAGTTACCCCTTTTTCACCCCCGAAAACGTGACTTTCGTAAGTATTTAAACAATGGATATTAACACGTAAAGATACTAACGGCGTTATGAACACGTAATATTCAAAGAAACGTGGCGGATCGATGCATTAATTGATCTTTACTGTACCTGCAAACAGCCCGTCGTTAACAGGGGAATGGTCGGTATGCGAACACGTTGGGCTCTACGGGGGGCCCGTCGTTAAGCGATTAGGTCGTTCGCAGGGGCTATCGTTCTGCTCTGTATATCTTGAGGTGTTTTTTTTCACCACCCAACTGTCGAGTGTTCATACGCGTGGGAGGAATCCGGAGAAACCCCCCCCCCCATGCCTGTGAGGGTGGTGGGGGGGCAACGCTCGATCCCCAAGCTTAAATGAGACTGATGGAGATGAGCACACACTTCGCTGTGCCGCCTCCTGCTGGCGAGCCGAGGGGTCACGGCGCCTTCCCGACGCCCTCGGGAGTTTTTCCGCAACATTCGGGCCGTGATCCAGCAGCCGTCATGGGTGGCGGGGATGTTAACCACCTCGCCTGGTGTACGGGAGCTCATGGGTTCCTATCCCGACCCTGACGATGCCTGCTGTATATCTGGAGTCTGCACGGTGTCTCTCTCCTCGTGGTCACGTGGATTTTTCTCCGGTTCCTCCGGTTTTACCCCTCCACACGTAGAATCTAAAGTATTCGGCTGCTATGAAATGTCCATGTGACGATAAGCCACTTGGTTAAGCTAGCATTCATGGCTAGGTCGCTTCTGAAAAAAGAGCTGCACATCTTAGTGGGCTTTACCTGGCAAAACAAAAACAGTTAATAGTTTATCAGAATATTTATTTATACTGGTGGAATCCGATGAGCTATAAAGCTTTTTTTTTACAGATGTTCAGTAGGGGCGGGTAAGAACGTTACAACAACAGTACACAAAAAACACGATAGTGTAAAGTACAAGAAAGGTAAACAAGTCACTCAAACACAAACAATCACAACTAAACCATCCCCATCCTACCAGGCAGAGCCCACCGAGGTTATAAACTTCCTTTTCAGAAGCGACCTGGCCACCAGCGATAGCTCAGCAAAGTGGCCCACCATTTGGACATTCATAGCACATTTATACCTCCACAGCGCTCGACTCGCAGGCCACATTGCACCGTAGCCACCACCGTCCCGGTGAGAGCCACACCATCGAGTTGACGTCCCACGAGCAATGTCCTTCGTTCGGGGGGGGGGGGGTGGGCGGGGGAATCGTTTCGCTTCGGCAACGCCCGGTGTTTCTCGTATTAGCGCGCTCCGTCACCTCTGCCGAGGCGGGGGCCTCTTGCGGTGACAGGTGACAGCGCTGTGTGCGTGTCTTTTGTTTGGCCGGAGAGAGGGGCGCTCAACGGGCGCGGCATGGGCTAGAGATGAGATGGACTTGATGTGGTAGAGGAGGATGTGGAGCCGAGTGGACTTGCCGATGGCCAGTACCGGTGGTGTCAAGATTGGCCTCTGTGTAGGAGGAGGCTCGTGAAGGGCAGTTGGAAGCCTCCCAATAACAGCGGAGGGCAGAGGAGCGACGCTCGCAACAACGAGCGGAGCGTCGGGCGGCTAAAACACAGGAAGTTGGCACAGCAGGGGGCACTGGTGGCGCATCTGCCAGTCATCTCGGTTAGTCAACTCTCGGCACCCTGGGTCTGTCCCGTGACCTCCTGCCAGTAGCGAGCCTTGGACACTTTGCGTGGCCTCAACGCCCACCTAGCCTGGCGCAGCTGCCATGGTGACGTCACCGCGACCGAGCGGCGAATGACGTTTGTTGTTGACGTGTGGCCCGTCAAAAGTATTCGGAAGACCCGTCGGACTCCCGAGTCAGGAAATGGGGTCGTGGTAACGGGCAACCGCCCGAGGTGTGTGGTCGGCAGAGGTGTGGGGCGAGGCCTGTGAGCGGCGGGCGGGGTGGCGCTGCGCGGTTCCGGTAAAAGCGGAGCGCGACGGCAGCCACAGATCTTGCCGACAGGCACACGGCTACTCGACGCAGGTGTCTCGCCAATCGACTGCCTCGCGAATCGATTGCCAATGAACCGACGTTTTCAAGACGTGCGTGCGCGCACGTAGGCGCGCAGCGTCGGAACGGAATCGGAGGGAAAACCGCCGACGTTAAAGCGTACGTCAGGAACGTCGTCGGTTGCGGGAGAGGGGTTTTCGGCCACCGTTTCTCGCAGGGTCCGGTACTCGGGCCGCTCCTAACCCTCGTTCCTTTTATTCTCACTTGACATCGAGCTTGGGTGCCGGATCGGCCGAGCTGAATCGATACAAATTCACCTCGGTTCACGATCTTACAATGACCATGTCGTGTGTGTGTGTATATATTGGCCAATGCAATGCCTACACTTTCATCCGTATATGAGGGAGGGGGGGGGGGGGGCGGGCGTGGTGGGGGGGAGGGCAAATCTCTGATGGGCGTCCGATTTGCTCGCTCTGTTACGGCGACAACGCTCGCTGCATGTGTGGTGGTCTGGAGCGGCGGCGTAGCTGTTGGCGCTACGAACCCGGCGACCCGAGTTCCATTCCCGCTTACGGCCAACACCACCGGTGACGATTATTTGAACTGGTCATGGCCCTCCCCCTAGGTCGACTCGCCACTGGGGAGACAAAGGCGGCCGGGCGCGGTGTTGGCCACCCACCCCCTCATGTAACGTGCCGGCCTTCATAGGTGCTGCTCGCTAACAACACTCGCCCCAACAGTCCGTTAAGGCTATACGGGCGGGGGGAGGGGTCTTTGGGGGGGGGCGGTGCTAAGTGGTCGAGTGGGCGTGACTGTGTTCAAGTGGGCGGAGTTAAAGCGATGGGGGGCTGGTGTGTGCGGGTCCCGGTTTGAGCTTTGTTTTTTTGATGCTGGGTGTAATCGACCAGCGGAAACGTCGCACCGTACTCCGAGTGTCAATGCCGTGGATTCACTCTCCCAGCACACAACCGGCGGGGCTGAAGCGAGTAACTCATTTGGCGCATTTTTTTTTTCCATTCACTCACGCGTGTCAAAAATCCCTCGCTGGTCGGCTGTGTCGGGTGGTGGCGGCGGCGGGTGAGCGGCACGCTCATACTTTGCCGCGATCTAACCCGACAGAAAGCTCCGTCGTGAATAGCGTTGGTCGCGAAAGCCCACCCAACATGTGGAACTTATCCCCGTGGTACAGCATGGGCAGTATTACGGCCCCCCCCCCCCCCCCCCCCCGATAGCAGATGTAGCCGACCTGTATTAGAACGCTGTTCTCGAGCAGTGTCGGGTGTTAACACTGCTTTGGCTATTATTAGAGGAGATCATCGGTGCAGTATACACACCGATCCCCCCTGCTTGGTGTCCAACCTCGAACCCGCTTAACGCGTTCACACCGATCACGCCACCCGTCCACCGAAGGCCGCAGACGTCCGCGGCTTTTGGCTTCCGCTCTTAGCGCTCCCGATGCCGCCCCCTTCGTCCTGCGCACAAATCGACCTCTGTCCTAGACCCAGCGTCGTGAGACGCCTATCTCCCGTTCCCCCCGGACGCCCTGCAAGTTGCGGCAGGGTTGCGGCGGCGGGGCGTCCCCCATTCACCGCCGAATCTCGGCAACGGCGGCGGCGCCCTTGTTTTTATAAAGACGCCGTCACTCGCCACGAGAGAACCGCAGCGACACGACTCGCCGCCGCTCTACGGTAGCCTGCGGCCCCGCACGCGCCGCTCCCCCACGTGGCCTTGTGGGAGCCTCGGTGCCGATAAAGGAATTTTGTTTGAGTATTGTTTTTTTTCATCTTCTGGTTCCGTTTCCGATTACGCGCACACACATCATCGGAATGGGCATCGGAAGGAGAAGCGACGACGCACGCTCACCGTGGGGAACGCCATCGGAACGGTAAAAAGGGATCCGAGCCGACGTATTCCCGCAGGTTCCTGTAACTCGGCCGCTCCTATCCCCCCCCCCCCGCTCGTCTTTTCTTACAACCTGAGATGCGATCGCATTTGAGGCGCTCTGTGAACTCCGCACGCTTCTGAGAACGAAGAGGCGGTGGAGGCGGGGCGGGGGGGATGGCACGGCGGTGTACCCGCAACGGCGCGAAACCTCAAGTGAGACCCGGGTTTGATAGCCCGCCGTGGTGAGCGATATCCGATGATATCCGATGCGGTCCCGGCACCGCCGCCAACTTCGCCGAACGTCCCGCCGTGGCTGACGTGGTGTATGGTGGCGGGGAGGGGGGGGGGCGGTGGCCAAATCGCCGCAATGGAGTCTGCGGCCGTTGATCTTCGTGTGGCCACACGGGAGAAAGACGAAGCGGCGGATTGACGGCGCCTCCTCCGTTTGGCACGGCTGGCTACGCGCGGTGCGAAAGAAGTTCAGCGTGCCGTCGTGTTCTCCCGTAACGCGGCGGTACAAGCGCGGTCCGCGACAACGTGCGAGACGCGTACGCGGGCTGACCCAAGACTCGAGGCGGCGTGGGTAGGGCCTCGCGACGCATCCGGCAGCATCCCCAGTGCCTCGTGCGACGCTGCACCCCAGGGCAGCCGTGCGGGCGACTGTGACGTAGTTCCGTTCGCTCCACCGCCGTTCTACCCAATTCGCATCCGCGCTGTGAAGAAACGTGTTCCCTAATACACTCGTCATCACATTGTCGATCCGACACGCAACGTTGCAGGGGAAACGGGGACCGTGCTTGGGGAAAAAACAAGAGAATGGGTTTTTTTTACCCTTTCTGGCATTAATACAGGTGGTGTGTGTTAAGATGTTCAAACACCAAATAGGAACGTTTTGCAAAGAATCTAGTTCGCATTAACCACGCGCACACACACCACTTGTGGCGAACATGCACACAAACACGCTCTGATAATTACGGTATATATGGGGCATTGTCATTGAAACTGATTGGCCTACAACAGAGACAGCCTTCATTAGGGCCGAGTCTCACCCAGTGACACGTCAGAGAGCGCTTGATGCGAACTTGATTCCTCGCAAAACGTTTCCATCCGGTGTTTGAACATCTTAACACGCACCAACTGTTTTAT